AACCTGCGATGGGTCAAGCTGTCACAACAACACATACCAAGGTACATCGAAGATGCAGGTTCCGACGCACAAGGGTTCGAAAGTACACTGCTAGCAGTAAGCGATATTTGTGGCTACAGTACCGTCTTTCAGCGAGGCATAACTCCGGCTTTTATCTTCAAGGAATCCTCAAGCGCACCACGCGTGATTGGCCTTAGCGGCAAACCTGTTAAAGGTCTCACATCGTTCCACACATCAAACTGTCAGCGCGGATTTGCCTACCTTGATTCCACAGATACATTGCGAATCTCTCAACTTCCGCCTCAAACGCACTACGGTCACCTCGGATGGGCAACACGGCGCATGCCCATGGATGCGGAGGTGCACGTCCTTGCCTACCACCCGGCAGGGTTATACGTTGTTGGAACAGGGCAGTTTGAAGAGTATCAACTAGATCCCAGTGAAACCTACCACTACGAACTACCCAAGGAAGACATGAGCTTTAAGCCAAAGATTGAGCGTGGCGTCCTGAAACTGCTAGACGAGAAGTCCTGGACCATCATCGACACACATGTTTTGGATCCCCAGGAAGTCATTCTCTGCATCGAAACGCTCAACCTCGAGGTCAGCGAAGCAACACACCAACGCAAGGACCTCATCGCAGTCGGCACTTCGATCGTTCACGGCGAAGATCTCGCAACTAAGGGTTACATTCGTATCTTCGAAGTCATCACTGTAGTGCCTGAGCCTGATCGCCCGGAGACCAACAAGCGTCTCAAACTTATTGTTAAGGATGAGGTCAAAGGCGCGGTTTCCGCCATCTCTGGACTGGGTACACAAGGTTTCATGATCATGGCCCAGGGACAGAAGTGCATGGTCCGAGGTCTCAAGGAAGACGGCACCTTACTTCCAGTCGCATTCATGGACATGCAATGCTACGTCAGCGACTTGAAGAACTTGCCTGGAACGGGTATGCTGGCTATGTCTGATGCGTATCGGGGCGTTTGGTTCACGGGATATACGGTAAGCTATTCCTTAGTCATATGGAAGGGAGTCGTATCAGATCCGATACTAATGCTCAAACTAGGAAGAGCCCTACAAGATGTCTCTTTTCTCCCGCTCAAAGCACGATTTAGAATCCATCGCGGTGGAATTCCTGCCCTTTGACCAGCAACTCCACCTCATTGTCGCAGACGCCGACATGAATCTGCAGGTCCTGCAGTTCGATCCTGATAGTACGTACCCACCATATCCTACTTGGAATCACCACCTCGTGCAGCCGACTAACACTCATGTCTCACAGACCCCAAATCCGAAGCCGGCTCCCGCCTCCTCCACAAATCCACCTTCCACACCGGCCACTTCCCCACATCCCTGCACCTTGTCCAGTCCCACCTATCCCTCCCTTCAACAACCGACGCCTTCACATCCAACGCCAACCCTGCCGACGACGAAGACGACATGGACACCACAACCCCATCCCCTCCATCCGCTCAACAACCCCTCCACCAAATCCTCCACACAACACAATCCGGCACCCTTGCCCTCCTCACACCCCTAACAGAAGATTCGTACCGCCGCCTATCCAATCTCACAGCCTACCTCGCCAGCACGCTCGAAAGCCCGTGTTCGCTCAATCCAAGGGCGTTCCGCACGAGCGGTGAGGCGACGGGTGATGGAGGGTGGGATGCGGGGACTGGCGCGAGGGGTATGTTGGATGGGAATTTGTTGATGAGGTGGGGTGAGTTGGGGGAGAGAGGTAGGAGGGAGGGGTTGGGTAAGTATGGAGAGGGCGAGGAGGGCAGTTGGTTGTTCTGGGGGGAGAGGGAGGTTCTTGCGGGGTGGGGTGTTTTTGGGGGGAGAGGACGGTAGGGGTGTTGAGGAGAGCGCTTGAGAGGATGGGGGATATGGTTGGAGATGAGTTGTGCGGAAGAGCAAGAATCTTGATAGAGAATACATGGGTTCACGATGACCCATTCCAGAGATCAGAACGCTTGACGACACTTATGATGTCATCATAAGCTGCTAATGGACACTTGATGCTAGGCTTTGCCTTTCCGCTTGTTGACCAGAGTGTACATACTGACATTGCTTCGCCACCTACAGCTGTTGTTGTTCTTCCAAGCGGTCTGTCGAAGGAATACATGGCGTTCGTGTTGCGAACATCTACTGCTTATCTCCTGCGTCTTGTAGACTAGGTTCTTGACTGCGTTACTACTCGACTGCGTTGTGGGGTTTGCTTAGGCATTGACTCTGGTCTCTTGTGAGAATGCACTGTCCGACTGCAGCCTTGACGTTGAGCCTGAGGCATCTTCTCGGCCCTACTAGCAATCAAATTCTACATGTGGCTGAACCGAGCCTGCGCGATGGCGCAAGGCAAAAGAAGGGTCCCCGTCCGGCACCCGGAACTTCGCCAATCTTCGGCGATAAGAGCCCTGACTGATCGCCCCCACTGTGATTGGCTCGGCCAAAAGCGGTCATAGCGTACCTTTGTCGAAGCTTCCCAAGTAACGCGCAATGGGAAACGCATATTCTCACGCCATATACAGTCATTGCGGTAGTGAATATCGGGTTTTCAAGTGACATTCGATAGAGTGGAGACCGCTGCATGGTTTGGGCAGGCAAACGAGGGATTTCAGGCAGTCTTGGGCTGGCGAGGCAGCGTGGAAGGGCATGGAATTGTTTGGAATCTTCTCTCGCTCGGCGCAGCCGGTGCATTTGCAACATCCCGGTTACTACTTTTAAGTCCACAAGCGTCGCCCTCTTGCTCGCACCCAATATACACAGTTCACACGCACCTGCCTCCGAGTCAGATACCCGTTTTTCACTCTTCGACCGCTCAGACTCCCGCGGCGACTCTCGGTAAGCGCTTTTGGTCTCCTGTGTCAGCAGTTCGACGAGTTACCCGCGTCTTCTTTCACCTGCAAGGCTGAGCTGCAATCAAGCGACTACTGCGACCTTTGGCCCCCAAGACTCGCCGCTGACTTTAATAAGATCTTCCGGACACCGCGACCTGCGCTCTCCACAGATCACCCAGAGACCTTTCTCTACTGCCCCTCAACCCGACTTTTACGACCCCGCTAGCCCCTCGTCTACGTTTCCATCGCACAACCACCAACCGCGACCATGGTCAAAGACACAAAGTTCTACGATATCCTGGGGGTAAGCAGAACCCTATCAACCATTAGCTGAACACCGGAAGACTAACGTTTTCACAGGTAGCGCCAGACTGCACCGAGTCACAACTAAAGACCGCCTACAAGAAGGGAGCGCTCAAGTGGCATCCCGATAAGAACGCCCACAACCCCGAGGCGGCCGACAAGTTCAAGGACCTCTCCCACGCATACGAAGTTCTCTCAGACCCCCAGAAGCGCCAAATATACGACCAATATGGCGAGGAAGGACTCGAGCAAGGCGGCATGGGCGGCGGTGGCGGCATGGCAGCCGAGGACCTATTCGCACAATTCTTCGGCGGCGGCGGCGGCCCCTTCGGAGGCATGTTTGGCGGCGGCATGGGCGGTGGACGCGAACAAGGACCTAAGAAGGCACGCACAATCTCGCACGTCCACAAGGTATCGCTCGAAGATGTCTACCGCGGCAAAGTCTCCAAGCTTGCGCTCCAGAAATCCGTCATTTGCCCCAAGTGCCACGGTGCCGGTGGCAAAGATGGCGCCGTCAAGAAGTGCGCTGGCTGCGACGGCCGCGGCATGAAGCACATGATGCGCCAAATGGGACCCATGATCCAGCGCTTCCAAACCGTGTGCCCAGACTGCCAGGGCGAAGGAGAAATCATCCGCGACAAGGACCGATGCAAGCAGTGCAACGGCAAGAAGACGATAATCGAGCGCAAGGTTCTCCACGTCCACGTCGACCGCGGTGTCAAGTCCGGCCACAAGATCGAGTTCCGAGGCGAGGGCGACCAGCTGCCCGGCGTAGATCCGGGTGACGTTGTTTTCGAAATCGAGCAGAAACCACATGCGCGCTTCCAACGCAAGGACGACGACCTTTTCTACCACGCCGAAATTGACCTGCTGACTGCCCTGGCCGGCGGCCAGATCCACATTGAGCACCTCGATGAGCGCTGGTTAACCGTCGACATCATCCCTGGTGAATGCATTTCCCCTGGTGAAGTCAAGGTCATCCGCGGCCAGGGAATGCCATCGTACCGCCACCACGACTTTGGTAACCTGTACATCCAGTTCGACGTCAAGTTCCCCGAGCGCCTTGGCAACAACGAGGATGGTGGTCCCATGTCTCCTGAACAGATTCGCGCGCTTGAATCTGTCTTACCACCTCGCAAGGTACCGGAGTCTATGCCTCCTGCTGATGCTATGACCGAGGACTTTACCCTCGAGGACGTTGATGCTGGTGGTGAGGGTCAGCGCGCGAGGGGTATGGGCGGCATGGAAGATGATGAGGATGATATGCATCCGGGTGCTGAGCGCGTACAGTGTGCGTCTCAGTAAGAGGTGTGTACCGCTGGTGCTGAAGTAGAGAGAGGAAGTGGTGTGAGGCATGATTTTACGATGCATGAATGCAAGAGTATGAGGTACGAGGGAGTGGCGTGGAGGAGTTTGTTCTTGCATTAGAGGTTTTCGACCTTGTTAGCTTTGCTGCCCGTGGCAAATGCTTCTGCGATACCAAAGAGAGTTTGTTTTCCTTCTTTACTTTCTGTAAGCAAAGGCATCATTAGATCTTTGTTGCTGCTAGTCAGATGGCGTTCTTCTAGATAGGGGAGAGCCTGATCAGGACAATGGCATGGTTTTGGTAAAGTGTGGGGTTAGTAGTGAGTGAAGTGAGATGAGATGTAATGCAAATGCGATGGTTCCGTAATACTTCTTTATGATGAATGCAACCAGGTGATTGATGTGATTTCTTGTCGTATGATGTCGCTCATTATGACATGTAAAGATGAGTAAGCAGCTCAAAGGGAATTTGATTACTAGTAAGGCCGAGGAGACGCCCTGGGCTTAACGTCATGGCAGCAAGCGGATGATGCATATTGATATAACAGCATTTGGTCATGAAGATGTCGCTCAACTTGGTAAGGGGAATGAGTTGCTGCCTGACATTATCGAGAGTAATTTGCGTAATTCTTCACGAGGGTTTCAGGGGCACGTGGTCAGTCTGGATATTGATAGATATCATCTTTGTTGATCCAGATCGTCTTTGCTACAAGCAAGATCCCGAAGGAACGCAATTTTGCCAGGGTCAATATCGTCCGATACCCGATCTGGAGAGGTAACCGTGGTCGGTAGCCACAAGACAACGCCAGACCCGATAGTACCCTCCGTGTGCTTCCCTCACTAAGTTCAATTATCTCATATTCTCCACGTTCACATCAGCTTACTAAAGCCTTTCCGGACCAAAAAACAACTCCATCCATTCCGTCGCGGAGTATCCCTCTTCGAAGGCTCCAGTAGAAGTGTGGTCAAACTTGACCTCCCGCATGACCGCAATCTGCTCCGGTGTCCGTCGCTGTAAGAAGGCGCGGAGATCTGCATAGAGTCGCCCAGTGATCATGAAAGTGCCGAGTTTATAAGGTACTATGGCGGCCTCCCAGTTGATCTGGCGGCAAACGAAGAGCAGAGGCTTCGCGTAGGAGGGCCCTGTCATTCTCGATCCTTTGGAGAAGGTGAGTGATGTAATAGATCCATCGTACATGGCGTAGGCGAATATCACATTTCGGATTTCTGCGGGTAACAGGAGAAGAGGTGAGGTTGTCGCATTGCGCTGGAAGCTATTACGGTCTGTCAGTCCCGACCGCTTCACTTCAATTAGACACTAACTCATGTCTCATGCGCGCGGTGGGTCTGTTGCGCGATCATCGTCTCAGGCTTCGACTGTATCGTGGGGACGGCCATGCTGGAGCTGTCGCTCGCGTGCGGGTAGTTGGTCGGGGAAAGTGGCTTGAAGGTGAGTGCAGAAGGGAGAGAGCACTGGAACAAGAACGTTAGGATGCATTGACTAGCCAGCGCGCTAGTCGCAAAGAGTAGGTGAAGGTCACATAGTGGTCTTTACAATTCACACCATAACGCTGACCACTAGAAATAGAATTGAACGAAAACTTTTAGGGGAGAAAAAGATCAAAGGAACTGTGTGTCTTGCCCTTGAAGACAGCGCCGGAGTGAAAGACGCCTTACACTCGCCTATGCAGTCGCGATCACTACTCCTCATTTTGCGCCAATAACGTGGAGTTCATATCCTTGAAGATACCCACAGCTGCCAACTTGTACATCCTTCTATACTCAAGCCAGTTCATCATGGCGAACACTTCATCCGCAACGTCTGTCATCAGAAGACCTTCCGTGCCTGCCATAACATCAAGCTGGGCTTGCGTGCGTCGCTGGAGGAACGGCACCAATAGCTCGCCCCAGTTTGATATGGCGAATAAGTTGAGTTTGTAGGGCAGAAGCGCAGTCTCGGCATGAATTTGGCGGCAGACACGGAGCAGATTGACCGGTGCTCTAATTTTGCTGTATATGCGCCCCCGGATTATCATGATATCTTGATGGTCAAGAGCAAGTGCGAAGATCATGTTCCTGATCTCGGCTGGGAGAAGGAGGAGAGGCGAAGTCGTTGCGTTGATGTAGGTGCTATGCGGAGGATTGGATTAGCGTTAGTCAACACATCTTCATCAGACGTCAACTCACATCTCGTTCAGTCTTTGCTCTTGTTGCGCAGCTTCGGTTTTAAGCTCCTCTTCAAATCTCAGCTGGCCTTCGATGTCCGCCTTTCCATTTTCGAGGTCCTCTTCAATTTCCAGCTCCTCCTCATCAGTCTTGAGCTTCTCTGGTAGCATCTCCGATGAGGTAATGCTGGAGCGGGTGTCTTCTTGCCGATCTTTGGGGAGCGACATGCTGAGCTTGGGGTTGATATCAAATAGCTGACGGAGATGAAGAGGCAATTGTAGAGGAGAAGGAAGGTCTGGGGAGAGAGGCATATATAATTGCTCGTCAGCGCGCTAGTCGACGATCACGAAGGACAGGTAGAGGTAAAGGTGAGAGTTGAGAAACAGTTCTCATACTTACTAAATTGTTTCACTATAGGTAAAAGTGGAGTTGGATAAAACAAGCCTTGAACGACGACATTGACGACTAAAGAGAGATGTATGATGAGATGTAATGTTTACGTGGTGACGGTGCTGAATTTTACATTGCCTCTCATCTGCCAAAGTAAGTCCTAGTCTCGATTTCATGTCCTCATCCAAATATCCACCCTTCAATACCAGAATGCCTTCAACCATTCAGTCGCGGGCTGCGCTCCTACCGGCGTGTCCGGTCCCCTCCGCACTCTCGCCAGAGTGCCGATCTGTGCTGATGTTCTGCGTTTGAGGAAGTCCTTGAACACGATGAAATTTTCAACAACCGCAAAAATGCTGAGCTCGTATGGAGATAGCGTGCTCTCGGCGTAGATTTGGCGACACACGTAAAGCAGGTTGATGGGCCGCCTGAGGTGGTAGAGACGTCCGGAATCGCGGACCGGATGCTGTTCCAGTTTGAAGGAGCAAGATCTCGGCGAGAAGCTGATGGGGATGTAGAAGAAATCGCAGATTTGCTTGTAGTGATAGCGATATTCAAAGCCTCGGCGTGCATCTCCTTTGATCTTCCAGCGATGAGAGTGCTCTGGGAAGGTTATCGGTATGTAACCGTGATTGAGGGCGAGAGCGAAGATGTGATTGCGCAGTTCGGCGGGGAAACGAAGGAGAGGAGAGCTGGCGTTGCGCCTGGAACTGTGGCCTCTCGTCAGTCACTGTTATCTGGTCTTATTGCGGCAAACTTACATCTCGTCCCTGGTGGCGGTTGCATGAGACGCGCTCGCAAATTCAGCACCATGATCAAGAGTAGGATAGGCACTGTCGTTATTTGTCAGTTTTCATGACTTTGTGACGACGGCAGTTGACGTACATATCGTCGACAGTAGGTTCGGCGTGCGGTTCGAGCAGAGGCTTGGCGCCCTGGGGTTGCTTCTTCGGACTCGACATGCTGTGGTCGTGGTTGTTGTATTAAGGGGCAGTGTTGGGGCGGATGTCGGAGCCGGGGAGAGGCCGAGAGAATGTTGGAGTGGGATTGAAGTTGTAGATATTTACATTGCGTCAGTGCGCCAAGCAGAAGACGATGTGAAAGCAACTACGACACGTTCTTTGCCATCCGTGAGGGGCTTCCAACCATTACAATTTCCTCAAGATTCGCCGGAGATTAAGACTTCAGTCAAACCAATATCAGCAGCCGGGTCCCCTTGCGTACGCAGACACAATATCCATTCACTCGCAAACATGCACTTGTAGCAGACCCAGTTGCGCCGCCTTTCCCATCTCCTCGTCACGTCCATCATGAGCTCAATCTGAGCCGACATCCGGCGCTTCAGGAACGTGACTATACTGCGGAAGTGGTAGGTATTGATCACGAAGGAATTCAGCTTATAGGGAAGAGGCACCGTCTCGGAATAGATCTGGTGACAGACGTAGAGCAGATTAAATGGATTTTAGTGATGAAATCTGATCATGTGACCACATGAGATTGGAACAGCGGAAACGAAAGTGTCGTGGTCGAGCGCGTAGGCGAAGATGGCGTTTCGAAGTTCCGCGGGCAGGCGGAGAAGGGGCGAGGCGGCTGCATTGCGCTCGGAGCTTTTGATCGGTGATCAGTTTTAGTTATTGTAGGCTACAGAGTGACTTGAATGTGAGTTCGCGTCAGTGATATTTGCAGTAACGTCTAAATGCTTCCCCCTGATCGAAACGGTTTTCAATCCTTGAAGTAGCGCAACCTCAAGATGCCCACCAAACCGGATCAATTTCGTGGTTGGCAATCATCTCCACCCACACTGTTGCCACGCGCGGTTCTTGGTCATATTACATCTTCACCTTGTCCAGCACATGCCTCTGAGCCTCAGATCGGCTACTCAAGAGAGTCTTGAGATTTGCTACGGGGTTGGGGCCCCGGATGACAAATATGTTGAGCCTGTATGGGAGGAGAGCAGTTTCCGCGTAGATTTGTCGGCAGGTGAATAGCAGGCCGAATCGCTCCCGGAGTGGGTATGTTCTCAACTTGGAATTCAGCCAGGTCTTTCCGACTTTGGGAGAGATTGTCCCATGATCGAGCGCGAGCACGAAGATCAGGTTCCTAAGCTCGGCAAGGAGGTGGAGAAGCGTGATTCGATGATATCGCACTGAGTGTCATCACACATCGGGCTGTCCACTAATTCTCCGTGTTAGTAGGGTGGCCCGAACGCTGTGTACGGCTTGACTGGGGCTTGAATTTCCGCGACCGGCGGATCACTCAGCGTGGAACCTTTGACTTCTTGCTCCTTGGCTACATCTACGACTTGGTCATGCTTACCGTTTGGATGAATTTAGACGAGACGCGAGATTGCTTGCTGATGGTTGTGAGTAGACTTTGGCGCGGAAGAGCGTAAGGTAAGCGACCTAGGTCAGTGCGCGACAAGTGATGGCCAAGTAGGAACGTATTTGGAGCTCTCAATCCAAGGTAAAACTGAATAGCTTGGAGCTTACGTTGACGTTACGTCACTCAACTTGCACGCCTTCATCTTCATATAAGCTGTAGACCTGTTTAGGTTACCCACTTTCTATGGTTCCATCTTGACGTAGACTGCAGACTCGTCTACCTTTTCCTCTGTATGAGGTGAAAGTGCTGTATATTCAGCAGGTTTATATAGCTAATTAATCTACTTCAATGGCATTAGGCCTTTGTTAACCTGTGTATCTCTTCAAAGTAGAATTTCAGGTCGTCTGGCTTAACGAACGGTGTGATACCTGCGAGCCGTTAGCACGATGCGACATATCATGTAACCCGTGGCTTGACTTACCGTGTCCAAGGTTGGCGATCCATCCCTGCTTGCCACCACCAAACCCAGCGACCATCTCTTCTACTACCTTCGTGATGGACTCCTTGGTGCCGTACAAAACACCCGGATCCGCATTACCTTGAAGCACCTTACCCTTTGCTTGTGCAATCTTGTATGCTTCCGCCGGCGCATGGAGCCAATCGAGGCCAATGGTGTTGTACTTGGTGTCGCAAAGATCCGACAAGGCGTACCATGCGCCTTTCGCGAATACGGTCATGGGAACGGGTTCGAGGCCCTTCGATTGGAGACGCGCAGGCAGGTTGTCGGCAATGTAGTTGAGGTAAGGTAGAGCAAAGGTCTTGAAGGAGGTTGGCGATAGCTCTCCCGCCCAGGAATCGAAGACTTGGATCATCTGCGACAGTAAACATGAGACTTCATCCTTTCGTCGTAGTACGTACCTGTGCGCCAGCCTGCACCTGAAGAGCCAGATATTCCACGCAAAGTTCGGCAATTTTCTGCAGCAGCGCCTTACTCTCCTTGGGGTACTTGTAGATCCATGTCTTGGTCTGGATGAACATCTTGCTGCCTCCTCCTTCGACCATATAGCACAGTAGTGTCCAAGGCGCACCGCAAAAGCCAATTAGCGGCACCCTGCCTGCCAACTTTTGCCTCGTCATGGTGATAGCCTTGTAGACATAGTCCAAAGACTCGGCAACATCCACCTTCCTCTCAAGAACCTCCTTGTACTGCTTATCCTCCGGAGTTTGCAGTGGTTCGGGGAAATGCGGGCCTTTCTTGTCCACCATTATGACCTCCATACCCATTGCTTGGGGAATGACGAGGATGTCGGAGAAAATGATGGCGGCATCGATGAGGCCTTCGTAGCGCTCAATGGGCTGGAGGGTGAGGGTGGAGGCGATCTCGGGGCTGCGGCAGCATTCGAAGAAGTCGTTTTTGCCCTTCGCCTCATGGTATTCCGGCAGGTAGCGTCCAGCTATACGATATCAGCATTGATGAGGTTTCTTCACAATGTATGCTTGCCTTGGCGCATCACCCATATCGGCGGGCGCTCGACTTTTTCGCCTGCAGAGTGTCAATACGCTGTGTGTTGCTGACCAATTGAGGCTATTGACCTCGTGCTGTGCGCAGAATGAGGTCATTCTTCATGGGCTCGAATTGGGGTGCCATTTTGCTGTGGATGGTGTAGTAAATGTCGAACGTCAATGACGAACGTCAATGACATCGGCCTCGTAACTTTGTTCAAGCTCCGGATACCCCGCGCGTGCAGATTGGGCGCTAACCGTATTGAGACGCGTTCCTGCATCTCTACCACCGCGCTATCCCCACAACTCTCTGACGCCAATTTCGTCCGAGGATGCTCTCAAGACATGTCCGGTATTTGACGCGTCATCACCTGGCGTGCCGAAGAGCTTCACATCAGCTGAGCCGGAGGGATTACAGTATTGCTTCTATACCCCCACTCTCAACCTCGACGCGTCCCATCGCGAAACCACGTGCAACACCATTCGTTGGACAAGCATGCTTCCCGGTGTCGCAATGCCGTGGCGCAAAGAGGAAGTCTGCCGCAACATTTGATGACCTCCATCAAGGACCTTTGGAGGCCGAGGCACTGCCACCCCAAGATGACGCCGAACCGGAATACCCTCCGCTGTTGCAGCAAGTGCGCAACAACATGCTCAAATTCAGTCACTGCGTGCTAGTCACACGCGTCGGTGGCTTCTATGAGGCAAGTATGCTGGCCGTGCGACATGTCCTAAGCTAATGCAGGCTGCAGCTGTACTTCGAGCATGCTGACGAATTTGCGCCCTTGCTGAACATCAAAAAGTCCAAGAGAAAGGCTTCGAAAGGTAGCAAGAAGCCAGCCGTCTCTATGGTCAGTAGTCCAATTTGGCGACCTGTCATGAAACTGACACCGTCAGGCAGGCTTCCCCGCGTACCAACTGGACCGGTACTTGAAGATTCTCGTCCAAGACCTCAACAAACATGTCGCTATTAGCGACGAGTATCTTAATGATGCCCCGACAAAGGCGAAGGGAGAGCCACAGTATACAAGGAGAGTGTCGCGCATCGTTACACCAGGTACACTGATTGATGAACATTTCATGGATCCATGGGAGAACAACTATCTCCTCAGTGTTTACGTCAACCCCGAAGTGCTCACGCAAGAAAAAGCTGTAAAGGAGAGTCCTGGTAGTTCGAGTGTCTCTTCTGTTCTCAACTTACCACGTACCGAGGTCGGCCTGGCTTGGATTGATCTGTCAAGTGGCGACTTTCTCACTCAAAGCACAGATATCGCGTCCTTGCCGTCAGCGGTAGCTCGTATTAAACCACGAGAGATAGTACTAGACAGCATCTTCCAAGAGCGGGACCACTCGCGAATCGTTTCCATTATGCAAGAAGACGGACATGTCATCACATTCCAGGAACCTTCAGAAAAGCCGCTTACCATCGAAGACTGGATACCGATGTTGGAAGACGTGGTGGAAGACTTTGACACAGCCAACTTCACCCCTGGTGAGGTCGCTGCGGGGGGCTCATTATTGCATTACGTCAAGCACCAACTGCTCGGTTCGCGCACACGACTACGCGCGCCAGTACGACATCAAGCCGAAGAGTACATGAGTATCGACAAGAACAGTCTGAGAGCGCTAGAAATCCGAAACACGATCCGCGAGGGCACTTACGAAGGAAGCTTGCTACATGCACTCAAGAAGACGGTCACCAAAAGCGGTACCAGACTGCTTACGGAGCGCTTATGTGAGTAGAAGCTCACTAGCATCTCCGATTCATTACTGACGTACACAAGCGGCACCATCCATGTCGTTGTCAACTATCAACAATCGACTTGATCTCGTAGAGGAGACCATACAGTACCCGCAACTCCGCCAGGACATCATCTCGCTCTTGGAGCAAACTTTCGACTCTTTAAGATTGGTGACAAAGTTCACATATGGCCGGGGTGACGCGGACGATCTTATGGAGCTATCGAAAACCATCCTTATCACCTCCAGTATAGTAGACGTCCTTCAGGAGCACGCGAATTCGAGGAACTCCACTCCAATCGATACAACATCAGCCACAGCGGATACTCGAAGAAGACAGTGCGTTTCTATGTTAGAGCGTCGATTTGATCTAGTGCAACCGCTTGAACTTGCTAACCGCATTCAGCATGCGATCGATGAAGACGGCCTCTCTGAGCATCACCGTATGGAAAATGAAGAAGCCGAAGAGATGTCAGACTTGGCTCAGGATGTGATCGGGCGAGAGGCTGGAGAAGAGGATCTGAGGAGCTTGCCGAAGCGCGTTCAGCCGAAACTAACCATGATCACTGGGAGCTTCAAGAGTGCGACCGATGGGCGGGAAGATGTTCATATCATGAAGCGCAATGCTAGTGCGACACTTGAACGCCTCCATAAGAGTTTGGACAAGATGACGGAAGCAAAGGCCAATATGGAACGAGAGATGCGTCAAAAGATGAGTACAGAAAGCCTGGTGTTGAAGTGGACGCCGAACCTCGCGCACATTGCTCATGTCAAGGGCAAAGACGCAGCTCGCGCTACCGCCTTTTATCCAAGAAGCTTGAGTAGTAGCAAGTCCACTCGCTCATTCCAAATTCCGGAATGGACTCAACTGGGCGCGCAGATGGACGAGACACGGTTCCGAATTCGATCGGAAGAACAACGTGTTCTCGGGGAGCTGCGCGAAGGTGTCGTTCAGAACCTTGTGAAACTCAGGCGTAACGCCGCCGTGCTCGATGAAATTGATGTTGCATGCGCGTTCGCTACCCTCGCGATGGAGAAAGCTCTCATACGACCCATACTGAGTGCGGAACCATCGCATAACATCGTTGGTGGTCGACATCCCGTTGTCGAAGCCGGTCTCAGCGAACAGGGCCGCAGATTCGCACCCAACGACTGTCAGCTCGGCGAGAAAGAGCGCATTTGGCTCATCACCGGTCCAAACATGGCCGGTAAGAGTACCTACCTGCGCCAGAACGCGCTCATATCCATCTTAGCGCAGACTGGGTCTTTCGTTCCAGCAGAGTATGCGGAGATAGGACTTGTCGACAAAATCTTCAGTCGCGTCGGATCAGCAGACAATCTGTACCAAGATCAATCCACATTCATGGTCGAGATGCTGGAAACGGCCCAGATCCTCAAAGAAGCCACGTCACGCTCTTTCGTCATCATGGACGAAGTCGGACGCGGAACAACACCCGAGGACGGTATCGCCGTAGGGTACGCCTGCCTTCACCACCTCTACCACGTCAACCAATGTCGAACGCTTTTCGCAACGCACTTCCACGCGCTCACCGATATGACGAAGAACTTCGAGAAGTTGGGTTGCTACTGCAACGATGTCCTTGAAGAGCCTGATGGTAAGTTTTCATACGTGCACCGGTTGAGGAAGGGTGTCAATCGCGAGAGCCATGCGCTGAAGGTCGCAAGAGTTGCTGGTAAGTCAAGCGCTTCGGAAGTGCGGTTTTTAGGAATGATTGATAACGGTGTTCAGGTCTTCCTGAGGATGCCGTCGCGATCGCAGCGAGGGTACTAAAAGAACTCAAGGGGCGGACGAGCGATGCTGGGGTGGCTTCGGCGGCTGCCTAGCAACGATATTAGCTCAGGATCACGACAATCAAGGGAAAAGCCAAACATCATGGAGCCTAAATTACCAAAAGGCTTCCATAGTTCACTTGCTTTATCCTAGTGTAGGCTGCAGACGCGTTCAGCTTTTTTTTTGTATGAGCTGGGATGTAGATGAACCATGACCGGGCGCTCGGGTCTCGTATTGCACGATACCAATCATCGCCATTAGTGCTCATTGATCTAACTCATTGATATAACGTCACTAAGCCACCAAACATTTGACGACCTCCCTGAAAGCCGTGTTTGTTCCATTCAGGTACGCATACCAGGTATTTTAGCGTGTGATTCTGACACATGTATCTATATTGTGTCGCGAAGGACGAATGTGACACCGTCGATAGGAATAGCATCAGCTGGCAAGGACTTATCAGTATGGTGTGACTATGCGCATGTAGACCTGGATAGAGTCTAGAACGTGTTGTCTGTCATGGATTTGTGGCACTTCGCTTCTATCGATGACGCAAGGCTAGAAGGCCATAAGGAGTGCGAGATCGTCGTGGGTAGTTAGCTGGTGTCGGCCGTCGTGGAATTCATCATATCTGACGTTTTGGGAGCTTTCAACGCAACCGACGTTGAGCTGCTCGATGCATAGCCTGGCGGGTGCATGTATAATACAGCAAGGGGACGACACAGGTTTACCTGATACTGAGCGACCATGTATGTTCTGCTTTCGTCTTTCCAAAAAATAACTGTGACGGTTTCCGAAGCGCTTCTGCCAAACCCCAGCATCTAGCCCTCCTCCGCACTTGGATCCGTTTGGCACCCACAAACATACCGCGAACCACTACACCCCGGGCCTATTCAACCCAATCTCATCTTTTCGTCTGTCAAGCAAATTGCACAGAACCCACGAAAGCCCACTCCGCACGCGTTAACAACGCTATGAGATGTAACAGCACCATCTCGTGACGCCGCGCGATATGCGCGAAACCGCTCAATTTGGTTCTTACAGAGGGGTTTGCGCGACACGAACAATCTACTTGCGGGAGCGATCGACCGTCTGTCGAGTCGATGTTACACGAGAAGAGGTGGGAGGATGTGGTTGTGCAGGATCAAGGTACCCGCAAATGCAAGCTAACATGCGAGGGGCTCAAAAAGCTGATGAGTGCAGGATGTCTGGTTGTTGATGGGACGTAGTGAGTGCGGCAGGAGCGGTTCGCCTTTTTACCCCACACTTGTCCATCTGCACTCGTTAGGAAGGTGTCAGGAACGTCATTTCCCGAGTTGTCTGTAACCGTATCGTCGCGTCCTTTCTTTCCCATCAGATTATCCCTTCACCAATTCACCCTTTTCCCTTACCAAAAAAAGTAAACATCGCAATCGCGACAATCATGGGTGGCGCACCTGTTACCCCACCATTGTCATGGCCGGCGCAGGCCCCACCACCACAGCCTCTAATCATAACTTCGGATATCACACTTCAGGCGCCGCTTTCAAGGCGAGGAAAAGGACCAGGGTTGGTTCTTGTGTTGAACCATTATGCCGCAAATGAGGCGAAAGAGGGATGTTTGGATCCGCCGCCGTTGAAGAAATGGGCTGAGGAGGGGTTCGCGGTCGTGCAGGTATGTTGGTCTAACCTGGTAGATCGAGACTCATGATGGGATCCTGGGAGTTGTCATGTCGTGAATGCAGGAAAGGTGGTGGCTTGATCCCAATGCTGACCACCCAATAGCTGCTGGTACCTGGTAAAGTCGACGGCGAATTTCCTCTCCAGAAGGCGCTGGACGTACTGAGGAACTGTGAAGAATGCGAGTTCGGCAGTGGTGTTGGACTGATATGTGCGTAGACTCCCGTTCTGATGGCATGATTACCCCAACAGCATGCTAACACCATCCACAGCATATCTATCAAGAATTCCCTATTACCTCGAAGAAGCTGCCTGTCAAAACCCCTCCATCAAGGCCCTCATATCTTACGGCGGCAAAAGTCTTTCCACACTAAGCTCGAAGGCACTGCCACCTCAACTAGTACACGTCGCGGGGCTACCAGACCCTCATCGCCGCGAGTCATGCTCATTAGTCCCAGAATCATCCTCAGAGAAACTAGTGCTACTCCCGGAGAACATCATTAAGACTTACCGGTACGAAGATGCGACAAAAGATTCTGGATGGGTACTTCCAAGCGATGAGGACTATCACAAGCGAAGCGCTGGCATTGCGCATACGAGGAGTCTGACTTTCTTGAAGCCGCTGCTTGGCGGGCCTTTTTTCGATCTGGAGGCGGTGTGGGAAGAGCATACCAAGTTCGAATTCGGGGAAAGAGATGTAGAGAAGACGATGGCTACGATGGTGGACCAGCCATATGTGAATCATATCCCGACTATGACGTATGTATTGCTCTGCGCTACCAGACCCCCAGTATCAGCGGTACATGTCGCCATGGTATACTAACGTCACTTAGTGGAGGCGTAGGCCAAGAGCGACTCACAGCCTTCTATACGCATCACTTCGTCTTCAGCAACCCGCCCGACACTGCCCTCTCCCTCGTCTCCCGGACCGTAGGCATCGACCGTGTGATCGACGAGTTCATCTTCACCCTGACCCACACCAAAGAAGTTCCCTGGCTACTCCCTGGTATCCCTCCCACCGGAAAGCCCTTAGCCATCCCGTTCACTAGCGTTGTTGCTATGCGCGGTGATCGACTTTGTCATGAACACATCAGCTGGGATCATGCCACGGCGTTGAAACAATTGGGTCTGCTTCCGGAGTACGTGCCTTTCCCGTACGATATCGAGGGCGCAGCGCCGCCGGAAGGGAAGAGATTCGAGGTGAGACTGCCGGTCGTGGATATGGAGGGGAGTCGGAAGCTGGTGGATGAGAGTAGTGAGGAGAGTAATACTTTGATGAGTGGACGGTGGCGACTGGTCGACGATGTATAGTGGCAGTCGGGTTGTGGTGACGAAGCTCGGCTTTGGGTAATACATCGGAGGTACGTATCTAAGATCATACAAAGGCCTATGGTTTCGCCAATACATGCCCTTACGCGCCAGCTGGGGCAGATACGAGCGCCTCAGGCACTGTATTCGTACCAGCTCTTTACGTCCCTGACGAGCATCCCAATCGCTGCCGGCGGATATAGGTGATGCGGAATCAAGGCCTTGCGGAATATTGTCGTCTTGGTCAAGGCTAACGAGACCTTGATACGGAGCACAGCCTCATCGAAGACCTCTTCCGCGGTCAAGAACTTGACGTTACTAGCATTCAACTCGGATACCTTCTGCACACCTTGCTACTGGCTCAGCATGCCGAAATCGCCAACCCACACCACTAGGGACTTCTGACCTCGGACAGCTTCCCGCATGGCCCTCCCATATGTCACGAGGAGCAGCATGTGTTGCGCAAGTATGTCTTTAACGGGCCAACAAACCCAACCGGCCTTAATCGTCGTCGCGTCTGCTTTGGCGCACGCCAGTATGCTATGACTGGCAGGTGATATTAGAAACAACGCGCATCCAGATCGATGAGGAAGGCAAGCGCGCCACATACGTGAACTCTGTTGCTCAATCATACGAATAGCAAATATCGCTTTGAGGACCACAAGCTTGTATCGTTCACCCCACAGGAGGCCGATGAGTGGCTTTATGCTGCAACCCTCTACGTTTGTCATACGTATTCGTCATAAAACGTCGCTTTCTTCCTCAAACAACACCAGGATCTGGTGAAGACTCAATGAAAAAAAGTATCTTCTCACATAACACAATAATGAGGATCTGGACGGGGAGTGACCTTGGGCGAACATGTGCCCGCGAGGTCGCAACACGCAGCAGGACAGAGCAAAGAGAGATCTGTTTGATCCTGCCTACCTGACTGACCCGTAAGACGTGATGCGCCGGGGTATATTGTCGAATTGCCATGCACGCGATGAGTCCAGCTCATCGAGTTTACAATACACCGCCATGCCGAATTAGGGAACCAGTCTCATCGGCAGTGCATTATCGTCAGACCAGCCGCTCTCATAATGTTGTCGGCTAGGGTTCTGCATGCTCGATATACGTGCATTCTCCTGCTCATGCGAAGTGTAAGTGAAGTAGAGCCGGCCGCTTGATTTTCCCGCACCCTGCACCACCGCACGCTGGATGCAGTCGGATGCCACCAGGGAGAGCCACGAAGCTGGGGTTCAGCCGACCTGACTCACTCCCCGGTGTCGATGACGTCTGAAGAGCTGGAGAGGCGATCGGGAACACCACAAGCCCAGTGCCTGATGTGTTAATACTAGATGTGGGAGGGAGAGGGTCCTCTCGTGATATCAGGCTCTTCCGATGGAGGACAATAGAAGGATGATAGCGAAGACGCGCGTGTTGAGCGTGGGGCATTGTCGAGTGTTGCAGTCTGGTGTTGGAGCAAGATGGAGAGAGAGGCGAGGCAGTAGATAGACACATGGAGCTTGAGCCATACGCCAAGGCGATCTAGGTAGAAGCCGGATATATTAGGAGTGAGGGTGAAGGTGGAGGTGAATAAGTGAGCACGGGAGCTGCGTAAGTCACGTGAAACTGGTGCTATAATCATTTGCATGCGGAAGCAAGATTGGAACGCTACTCCGGTTGATCTCGATGCTGATGGCGAGCGCAAAGCGCTGATGGCAGCGTACAGTGCTGGTGCCATACTGTGTAATGTTGGAGTCGCGGAGAAGTGCAGCGATCGGCCGGGTGTCGGGGCGGGCAGGAAGCGGCGCCGATGCCGCGCGCCAGCCCTCCGTTAACGCGCATCGTGTTCACGACTCTGCACTCCATAATACGTCGAACCGCCGTCACGACAAGTCATGCACACTAGCAAGCCGGAACCACCAGATGACTAACATGTTTCCTATGCGGCATCGACAAGACGCCAATGGTTGCGATTGCTTCGTAGCCCAACCTCGAGCTAATAGTCAAGATCGCAGGCCATGGTCACCGCACTCCTGTTGTCTGATGATATGCGAAGGTGATCAGGTATAGGGCTATGGTCTCTGGACAGGCCGAAATAGACATTCCACCCCAGGTGAATACATTTGCCTCTACAGCACCAGGATTCCAAATTTCGGGTCATATTACTGCATACGCATTGCTACATCCCAGTAAGTAAAATGTAGAAGAGGTAATATATACTGCTCTCCACACTACGCAGCATCGCTTCTACGTTGTAACTTTATTGTGGGCGTCTTGCGACATGAATTGCTCGTTCCCTGGTGACAGCGCCCATCTGGGCGGCGTCATGACGACATCATGAACCTCGTAGCACACCACGCGCCCGACTTCTGGAATCGAAACCCATGCGAGCCTACTCTATATTCATCGATATTACCCAGGTACTGAGACAACTCCGGACGCGAGTATGCCTTCCGCTGGGCTCACCATCCGCGACGTCACGCCCACCATCACCACATTCTCCACGCCGTTCAATCGCTTCGCACCATTGGGCTACCGCAAATTCGTTGCAGTAGGCAATCGAGCAACCGCCATCAGATTGCACGACAATCGAATCATTCTCCTCAATCCGATCCAGCTCGAACAAGCGGTGCGCAACAAGCTGAATGAACTTGGGGGCGTTCATCTCGTGGCGTGTGATCTTGGGCATCATATGTATGTGAAGGACTATATCGACGCGTGGCCGGAAGTCAGGACGATCGGTGTTCCAGGTCTAGACAGCAAGAGGAAAGACGTGGAGTGGGATTACATCTACGAAGACTGGCGGACAAGTCCGGAAGACCAGTTCGACTTCGCGCAGGACATCGAGACAGTGCTGTTTGAGGGTTTCATCACATACTGTGTCGCTTGGTATCACAAGCCCACGAAGACCCTTATACAGTCTGATTTGATGATGAACCTACCGTGCACTGAGGTATGTTGCGCAATCACCGTGCGTGTACGCGAAATTAAACGCTGACCTTCTGTCAGCAATACCAGCCAAGCTCGTCGCACCATGGTCCACTGTCCCGCGAATTTGCAAAACGCGCACATCCTCGATCGATATGGGCGAAGCGTCTGGTCTACCACATTGCGACCGTTGACTACACCTTGATGCGACGCGATGCGAAGAAAGTGGCGGAATGGCAACTCGAGCGAATTATACCCTGTCATGGAGACGTCCTCAATCCTGGCGGGAATGAAGCCTGGGCAATGGTGTACGATTGGTTCTTGACTGGCAAACCCACGCCAAGCCTGATGAAAAGACTTATGATCCCCGTTATGAGGGTCGCCAGAAGAGTGTTCTTGATGTAAAGCCCAGACATGTGCGCTTGGTCTTCTGGCCTGTGATCCGGTCAGCCCAAATACCTATGCCGCGGCAATGAAGTTTCCATTATCTACTGCCTGCGTTTATGTCACCCCAACATCACCCTCCACTGGATACACATCGTCGATTGCAACGTTCTCATACGGTTGTGACGCCTTTTGATACGGCCAACGCATGCAATGGAAAGCCATTGTCTCTACAGCTAAGCAGATGTAAGAACCTGGAGCCGTTGAGCCAGCTTCGTCTATCGACTCATGATGCGACGTTGCTGTCTCGCTACGCGCCCAGTGCCGTTTCGGCAAGAACGAGATGAAAGAGACTCACGTTGACATATACGATTGGCACCCACGAGCAAGGAACCCGATGGTGAAAGACTTTTGTCGACGCACAAAGGGAAGAAAGGAGTTGTGCCATAATGCCGCCTCTGTGAGGCTTTTCACTAGTGGCTCACAGAGGTCGGCCCTACCACTACTGTCGTATGTTAGTCCTCCGACTTGGACCTCGAGAGAACGTGGCTACTTCTCTACGCCCGTCAACAGGAATCTCAATCAATATTCCATTGCTGCGACATGGCAGACCTACAAGCAATGTACTGATCATGTCTCCCACTAACAAGTCTAAGTAGCTGATTAGTACACAGTACCGAACACAATCGCACTACGTCACCTTTTCTCAAGCTCCCAGGGGAGACTTGTAACAAAATCTACGACTTAATTTTAGGTGACAATACATGGCATGTCGATTAGCGTTGTCAATTAGTCTACAAAACTCTGGAGGCTGAGCGCAACGATCACCGGGCTCTGCTCCGTGTCTGCCGAGAAATCTACCAGGAAGCTCGCGTTTTACAATGGTCACTCAGCGTCTTTCAATGTGAGCAAAAAGCTCATCTTCGCGATTGGTTTGCCAATTTTCCGAGAGAGTGTCGCTGGGCCATCACGACCATCACTCTGTTCGTGTCTTATGAAGACTGTCTACGCTCCTTGGACTTAGCCTCTACGATGTCATTGTTTGTGACAAGAGCATTACTCAGCTTCCAAGACTTTCCTGCTCTTAGCAAAATCTACAGGTATTACTACGAAACCGCAGATGATAAAGCCCATCAACATTACAAACGGCTAGCTGACGAGTCCAAAATCCAAAAAAGAGAGGACAAAGTGCGAGTGGTATTCGCTAAGTTGCATGCATCTACAGCTTGGGAACGTATTTCAGCGGTAAGCTCAGGAGTTCACGCACTCCAGCAAGCTGTAGGATAGGTGTCGGTCTCCGTTTCAATGTATCATACCCTTTTCTCTAAACCCACAAGTTCGTATATACTGCAGGTACACCTTAAAGTCAAAATTAAATCGAGACGAACATGGGCTTCTCAATCTATTCTGATTAGTTTTTCAATATCCAGATCTTGAATACCTACGCAATAGGCGCGTAGAAGCTGAACTTCCCCTTGGGATCATACTTCTTCTTGAGCGCTTTCAGCTTCTTTTGCCTCCAGCTCTCGTGGCCATACCAAGCCTCCGGCCCCTCATTACCATACGCATAGTTCACGTAGGTATGGAGCTCACTAGACCCTGTACCCTCACGGATAATGTCGCGCAGCTGCGTGCCGAGCTCCTTGACGCCTTCGTCTTGCGCCTGGCCAGTAGAATTGTATATAATCAGAGGCGCAGCCAGGGTGTGTGCGTCGCGGAAGCCAAATGCGCTAGCATCGTTGCTGCGGTCGCGTACAGCGCCACTCGCGTAGTCCTCGAACATGAAGATGGAGTTGTAGTATGGGTTGTCAGCCCCGGCGATGGCGGATGAGTAGAGATCCCAGGCCTTGCGCTGCGCAGTCACGTTGTAGGACTCGATGTAGATCGGGAAGCGAGGGTTGTTGAAGCCGAAGTCCTGGCATGGAGGCGATTCGAGCGCGATACCGGTCCACTTTGCGAGATCCTTGTACGTGCCGGATTGGGGCGTGGCGGCGAGCGGACCGATGTCGTGGAAGGGCGACGTGTACTTGGCATCGACGGTGGTAACACCCTCTTGGACGATATAGATGATTATCACCGGCTGGGTATACATTAGCGACTGTAGTTCAATAGGGGACAGTCATATCTTACCCCCTCAGTATCGTGTGTTGCATCGTTCTGCCAGTACGTCCAGTCATGGATGTCCGGCGCCTGCTTTCCACCTTGGAGAATATACTTGTTGGCAGCCTCGTAGACCTGCTCCACTTTGTCGCCACTGAAGACAATCGTCTCAATCGCCCAGTCGTAGTGCTCAATGTCGTAGATCTTTGTGGTGACGGATGTAACAACGCCGAAGTTGTGGCCAGCTCCTTGCATACCCCACCACAAGTCTGATTTGCTGTCGATCGTCTTCAAGTCTCCGTTTGCGAGCACAATATTCATAGAAAGGAACTGATCGGTGATCAGACCATAATGGCCCTGGAACCATCCGTGACCGCCACCGAGGGCTGGTCCTAAGTAGCTGACGCATTCGCAACATCCGGTGACTTAGTCGTGTCAGAGTAGGCCAAGTCTATTGTGAAGTTGTGAAGCTTACCAGTCTGCTTCCCAGCGTTCCACAGAGTGTCTGTCAGGTTCTTCACATTGGCTCCACCACCGATAGTCGCTGACTTTCCGTCTTTGGCGATAGAAATTGAGTTTAACTGAGGTAGGTAAATCTCGATACCATAGTCCATCTTGCCCAACGTCGTAAGCGTCCCATGATGACCATTGTAGGTGAGGAACGGGATGTTGTGATCATTCGCAAACTTGACCTGTCGCGAAGGTATCAGCCGTCGCCGCTTGTATCTACTGCAGAAGCGCAGGACGCCCTACCGCCTACGGATGAACTTACAATCTTCTGGACGTCCTTCTCCGTACCCGGGGCGATTACAATGCTCGGCGTAGGAACCTGTAGATTGGACCATCGGGTCGTGTAGGTAGCAAACTCCTTCGTATCGGGGAGGTAAATCTTCGCGGTGGCGGAGAGATACGGCGCTAATGACTTCACGTCGATACCTGCTGCAGGCGTCCTAGAAAAGAGGTCGAAGTGCGAGGTAGGAGTTCCCAAAGCAGAGGTAAGAAACAAGCTTGCGACAGCCAACGGTGCCAGAACTCTTCCAAACATGATGCCGGTGGAAAGGCGTCAAGCAGGATGCGAGACACGGTCGTGGGTTACCAACATCCTGGAATGTGGCTTCAAAGCATCTCAAGTACGAGAAGACATCTGCGCTGTCGGCTAAAAGCATCATGCTCGATGAGGAAGACATCCGGGCCGCCCTGCAGTGTGTGTATCGTCAGGGTCCAGACGGCGTAGAGGCGGGACAGGTTGCATCGAAGGATGCAGCTCAGGTCACACAATCGGTGCGAATCCGATCCTACGATGATCTTGTCTGCGCCTCGACATGTGCGCTTGCACGTTGTCGAGTTCTATGGGTCTGTGGCATCACCGCGATTGGCTCGGGGCTCGGACAAGATGCCGCGAGCCGCACCGTTGCCCTGCCCCGCCCAGACGCCAACAAGCGCTCGCCATGCACTAGGGGAGGTGCGTTCTCACTCGCTGCCTTTATTGTTGGATGGGCTTGCACCCTCGTACTTTACGAACTCATCGAAGGCCATGGATGCCAACCTCTGTCCTGCTAACGACGCTGCCGAATGCCGAATCCGTAATGCGGCTATCGTTGCGCGCTCTTCGTCCATGGCTGAACCACGAACGTGATTATCGAAGACACTGATCTCCTCGGCCATGCGAACATGCAAGTGCGATACAGCAAGCCAGAAAAGACCACGACGAAAGAACTGCTCGTGTTCGGCGTGATCCTGATCTATGGCCGGCAAGCCAAGAACCGCGCCGCTTTCTTCCTTCCTTTCACTGGATAGTATCGGATCGCGAAATCAGATTGAGTGCCAATGTGACTTCGGGCCGATGTGATGTGATTACACGGGGTATCTGTTGGCTGACATCTCATCGAGGTAGGCTATGCCATGAACGTCTCGGACACAGATTCAGTTCCATCTGTTTTGTCCTGGGTTTGTGGTTATACCGACCGACCCAGAGTTGAAGAGCGATGGACCAGACTTGAATCGATCATCAAATACCGTCATCGCAGAAAATACCATGGGCATCGTGGAGCTATGGACCCTCTATGCACTCGCTGTCTCTTTCACATTTCTGCGAACATACGCCAGGATTACCGCCGTGGGCCTCAGCGAGCTACAAGTGGATGACTACCTAGTATGGATTGCTATCGTGAGTAGCAACATATGCTTTGGTTCATACATTTCATTCTGCTAACAGAACGTTTACCAGCTAATCTACACCGCCCAATGCAGCCTCGGGTACAGCCTGGGAGTGCACGTACATGGTCTCGCAAATGATGGCATGACGCCGAATGAGCGTGATGCACTGTCACAAGACGACCCCGAATTTAACATGAGGTATACACAAAGCCAACTACTGGCGCAAGGAATAACATAGTGAGCCACGGGGCACACGTAGCTAACAGGGTTTTAGAGTCATCGGATCTAAGATCCAGGTAGCTGGCTGGACCACCGCCGCATGCCTACTTTGGTCTCTCAAGCTATGTGTAGCAGCCTTCTATCTTCGTCTCACGGTGCGTATATCTATCGCACTAGACCTGGAAGCTTAGACTGACATTAATCACAGGCTGGCCTTGGGATGTACACGACTCGCATTCGCATTGCTTTTGCTTCCATTATCACCACTTTTGTGATTATCATATTCACCATATACTTCTCCTGTCGACCGTTCTGGCACTACTGGCAGATTAGTCCCGATCCCGGAAACTCGTGTCAAGCAGCGGTATCGAAGCCTCTCATCTGGGTCACATTTGTTTTCAACGTGTCCACCGACGTGTATCTGCTACTGATACCGATTCCTATGTTATGGAAGTCGAGATTGAGAACATACAAGAAGAGTGCCGCTATGCTCGTACTTGGCTCTGGCATGCTTGTTATTGTGTGTGCGATACTAAAGAGCATCTATCTCATCGCGGTAAGCCACCGTCGCACAGTCGCCATACAATGGCCTTCAAGACTAATTGATCTCCAGGACCCTTTGAACAGTGCCGAGCTTACCGCCTCGTGGGGTACTCGCGAGACCTTCATCGCCATATCCACCACCAATCTGCCCATGATCTTCCCATTGCTCAAGAACTGGCTCACGCCTTTTCTACCCAGTACAATCGGCTCCAGCAACACAAAAGCGCAAGAACCTCCAGGTAGTGACTTCGAAACAATTGGAGGCGGATCCGGTCCCGGTGGAGTTAGGGCAAATCGAAGGGCGCCGCACCGGACGCGTCATCCTTTTGGGGGTCTAACGCTTGACAACGAGAGCGAAGAAGATATGATCAAAGGAGATGACGTGGCCATGCACCGCATGCAGGCTGACTTTAACAAATCAAATGGAAAACATGTGATCGTTGTGTCAAGCGAGGTCAGCGCAACATCTGAGAATGGTTGCGGTGCTTAGAGCAAAGCATCTTTCGAGATCATGTAGTGATTTATCTTCATGCTCCAGTACCGACACAACTATTCGCATCTACACCCTGACCTGAGTTGATCTTCCTATCGGTGCCGTTTGTGACGTGACTTGAGTCAGATCCCGCCGCCTTCACACTAGGTGATTCCCCATAATCCTCCCACGAAGTCTACGCATAGATACGTACGAGTAATTAGTAGGCCACTAACGTTAATATCTCGACAGGACGCAGGAGATGAGAGAACAATGTCGGAGGTAATTCCAGGCCAATATCTAAGCTTGAGTTTGAGACTGTCTATTGTAGGAGTCTGTCATTTACTGGAGACGAGCCATCCCCTTCGGCCCACAATAGTACAGGAAGTGACTCCATGGTGGGCTCTATAATACCAACGAATCCTTCAAAGGAAACTCTCGTGCCGGGAGATGTACCCTGGTCTTTGCCCGGGGTAGTACTGGCGGCTTGTTCGTCGTCTTTTCTGCAGTCGCTCGTGTTCCCTTCCAGAAAGGCTTTTGCCATGAGTATGTCTTCCTTGTGAGTGAGGAAGTAAGCTGATAATTGCTGGACGTCTGCAACTGTAACGTATCACCATCTGCTCTACTGACAAGCAAAGGCTTTGGCCGCTTATGAGGAAGATTCTCCTTAGCTCCAGGCTCGTCAAGCTCGTCATCGCTGAAGCGTGTTTCAAGAGCCGCGAACTCGTTGAGCTCGTCGATGCTGAAGGCTATCTTGCTAAGGGGGACCTCAGAGGCTGGATCCGCTGCGATAGTGTGACCCTCAAAGGGCGACAGTCCAATCTTCTGAGTCTTTGGTTCATCAAGAACGAGGATCTTGGAGACGTCTTCAAAGACCGACTAGCGTAGACGCTTAAAGCCTTCATTGAGAGGAATGACTCCACGGGTGTTGGTTAGGTTATCATTCAGGTGATCGGGAGGAGATGCTGTAGCCATGTTGAGGCCGGACGCTGTTGTACACAATATGAAGTAGACTTTGCGAGCATACTTCGGTGGTACGGGTGCTTGGCTTTGACGAGGACCCACTCAGCTGCAAAGCGCTAAATCCCGATTAGGATGCTAATCGGAGACGCCAAGCATATGCTACCCTACCCAAATTTCTAACTGTGTTCGTCCACGATGCGCCAACCAACAAAGTAACGCCAGAAGAGTCAGAAACGCCGCTTCGTCGACGCTAGAAGCCAAACCGCCTCATCATCAAGGAAGTATGACGGAGCCTTGGTAGCATGGGTTCACCTGTTCTTTGCCATAGTTCCGAGGTCGGACCTATTTTCTTCGTCACAGTAGCGCAGTGGCCACCGCTTTCTCACATTAATGCCCCGAAATGGAAAGAACGCTGCTCTTGATAGTGGAATTGGTTTGGAAAGATGGCCAAGCCGATGCGGACATCTAACACTACAAGCGGTTGCTTATTTAAAGTGACAGTCTCCGCTCAAGTTTCCAAGGCTTGCATCCAGCGTCCGTCTCGTCGACTTACTCCGTATTGTATTATGAATTCCCGCGATGGTTATACATGGACGCCTACGTCTGGCCTGAAAGCTGGCGTTCCCTCCCTTGGCGTTATAACACCCTCCACGAACATTTCCAGCACTGAAAACCTTTACGATGTCATTGTCGTTGGCGCTGGCTACTGCGGCCTCACTGCCGCGCGCAATGCTGCAATCGAAGGACTGAATGTGCTGCTACTCGAAGGTCGAGATCGCATTGGCGGCCGATCGTGGTCATCGAACATCGAAGGTTATCCATTCGAAATGGGAGGCACATGGGTGCATTGGGGCCAGTCGAACACTTGGAGGGAGGTCGTAAGATATCGGATGATGAATGACGTGGAGAAATCGTTTGACTTCTCACATGGTGTTGATCACTACGAATTGAACGTCGGGTCTGAAGGCTCTACTATGAGCCATGATAAGGAGGTATGTTCCCGATTGCTGAGTTACAAAGTGGTTCACCTACTAACTTAGCCAAGGATGAGCTTCTTACCTCAGCGCTAAACAAGTTCACTAACATCGATGGAGCTTATGGAAGGAATGTAATGCCTCTACCATACGATACATTTCACGTTCCCACCGCAACCCAACTCGACGATCTCTCCGCTCAAGACCGCATTGATGGAATCGCGCCATCACTATCCCCACATGAGCGCGCAGCCATCGAATCTTTTATCCTATTATGTAGTGGAGCCACTCTTGCGACTACGAGTTTTCTGGAATTCATGCATTGGTGGGCTATATGCGGCTATACCTACGCAGGCTGCATGGACATGCTGATCACCTGGAAGTTCAAAGACGGACAATCAAGCTTCGCAATCAAATTCTTCGAGGAAGCGCTCGTGACGAAGCGTCTCGCGTACGCTTTTAGAAGCCCAGTCAAGCACATTAAGGACACAGGCCGTAGAGTTGAAGTCACGACACGCGATGGCCGCCAGTACCACGCAGCGCGGCTGATCTCAGCCATTCCTTTGAACGTCTTAGGCGACGTGACTTTCGATCCGACCCTTAGTACTGGAAAAAGGGAAGCCATTGCGACAGGTCATGTGAATCAAACCGTCAAGGTCCATGCAGAGGTTTCGAACAAAGATCTCCGCTCTTGGACAGGCGTTACATATCCGCACAACGAGCTCATGTATGCCATTGGGGACGGCACAACACCCGCAGACAACACACATATCGTCTGCTTTGGCGGTAGCAACAAACACATCAACCCGGAGGACGACATCGACGCAACTAAGCGTGCAGTCACAAACATGTTTGTGCAACAAAAAGACGAGCCTAAGATTGAGAGATTAGTCTTCCACAACTGGTCGAAAGACGAGTTCGCAAAAGGCGCGTGGTTCTTTTCATCACCTGGGTTCCTTGCAAAACACCTGGATCATATGCGTCAGAGGCATGGGAATGTGCTGTTTGCTAACTCGGATTGGGCACTTGGCTGGAGGAGCTTCATCGACGGTGCAATTGAAGAAGGTACAAGGGTTGCTTTCGAAGTCCGGAGAGAGTTGACGGAGCTTCGCAAGGCGAAGACTAGTCTATAATACAGCGACACCATTATCGTGATCAACACAAAATATGAACAAACCCACAAACACAGTTCCACAGAGTGTATCCGTTGTGATTATTTATCTCAGAAGGTACATCGTTGCGATATCGGTGTTCGGGCTGTGTTTTGATAGGCGGCAGGCGCAAGTGTAAGCTCAACCACTGAGGATGGCCAACGAGCGCAGTTCCTGTCATTTCGCGCCCATGGTGTGTGTTGGCAGGCACCCATCTTGCGGCCACGCTCAGCTGCGCGTACTTGTTTCATTGCGCCTCAATGACAGAGGTACCCACCAGCCGAGACGAGTACACTTCTCCCTCGGACTGTCTGATGAGGGTAAAGCAGGACGACGCGAGACTGCGAGGCAGAGTCAGCTTCTGTAAATGAGTGATACGACGCAGCCAGCGATGAGATCGACTCGTAGAGTTTGTATAGCCTCTAGGACCTGCGCCTTGCAAGCCTTACCTTACACCATAGCGTTCAACCACAAAAAGCGTGCGAGGGCATTAGAGGCCGAGGCCGCAGGTGGCAGGTGGCAGGTCGCTAGTTACGCTCTCTCGATACTGTGTATCTCTCCTCTCGAATTCGGAAGCATCGATCTCAAATACCTGCACCTCCTCTTTGCGGTACTTCCGTACTGAGTATCTTGTGCTCTAGCTGTGTATTGAATGGTCACAAGTGACGATGCTGCGTGCGATGAGCTTTCCATTGAGCTCGGGAGTGATGGGCGGCGCAAGCGCCAACTAGCAAGCGCCAACCTCGGTTCGCGCTTTCGCGCAGTCGCACCTGGTTTTCTTTCCTCTTCTACCTGACGCGTCTTCACTAAGCCGCACGCGTTGCAGACATGTCAAACCTGTAAGCATAGTAGAACTTCCGTGAATACTCGTGCACTTAGGCCAGTGTTGATGAAATCCTGCGACGGCTGTGGGCCTACGTTGTGGCCGATCTGCGAAGTTGCCAAACCAATTGATCCGAGAAATAGGCAAAAAGATGCCCGCAGCAGCAACTACGCAGAGAGACCGGGGCTGTTTCCAGTGCTCGCGCCGTAGGATTGTCTGCGATAAGACCGAGCCATCATGCCTCAAATGTGCGAAGAAGAGCATTGAGTGCTCTGGGCTCGGCAGGATTCGATTTGCTGAAGGAGTGGCTAGAAGAGGTCGGCTCAAGGGTTGCAAGGTCCCCAGCGCTGGAGGAGATGATGGGTGCCAGAGGTCATCAATTACTACCGGGTTACAAGCAGTGCTAGTCTGGCCAGGCGAAGAAAGAGCTAAGCAGAGGAAACGCGATGCGATTGAAAGCACCAATGCGAAAGAACCAACAAGATCAATGTCCGATGCACACCAAGAACCAGCACACGACGGAATTCCAAGATCACTGTCTTTAGAGCCCGCCAGGAACGATGAGGAAGACAACACTGGCGTGGAAGACATCCGCCGGAGTTACGATTTAGTTGTGACTGCGCGTCCCCATCACTACAATGTTGTTCCTTGGATCGCACCCATAGCGCCAACATTACGGATGCTCTTCTCGTATTGTATGTTCATGTGCTATTTTGGCTATAGTCCCAGATGTCGTCGACTAACTTCAACATAGTCTCCGATGTCGTCGCCCCAGTCATGGTCGCACTTGACGACGATACGAATGGCTACCGATCTCTAGTCCTTCCAATGGCAGTCGAAGATGATGTTCTGGGTCAGGCGGTGAGTGTTGTCGCCGCGCAACATCTCAGTCGTCAGCGACCCGAACTCCGAAAAGCAGCTGAGGCGAGACATGCCGCCATTATCTCGCGCTTGCGCAGCGACTCTTTGCAGCAGTCTGCGGATAAGGTTTTTAACAAGTCCACGTGGGCTACTCTGATCGTACTTCTGGTTGGTGAGACGGTGACCGGGAGTGAGGATTATGGCTTCCTCATCCAGATGCTGCTCAGCTTGTCCGTGAACAATCCTGGCCGAGACGCCGATCCCGTCTTATCAAAATTCTTACAAGCGCAGACTTACATGTATGGAATCCAGGAGACTACAAAAACGTTATCGCTTCTGACACACAACAGGTTTGAGCTGCTTGGCGTACCCTTGCTCGGTGAGGAGGCGGGTTTGCTCACGACAATGAAAGCTTCCGAGTCTTTGATGTGGTGGCTATCATATCCGCATCTCCCAGAGGACAGCGAAGATCGACGCCTTGCGGATCTGATACGGCAATGTTTCGTTTCCGCATGTGACATTTACATGCGATGCGCAGCCAACGTCGATACAATCCCAAGCTTCCATGACACGATACAAGCACACATGATCCAGCAGCTCATCGGTGTGATGTCACAAATCCTCCCTGACGCGCGTGGCGCTCACGCGCTTGTCTGGGTGTGCTTTGTTGCTGGAGCAGCTTCGACTGATCGGAGTCAAAGGGACTTTTTCGTGCACCGCATGGAATCAATCTACGCACGTACGCAGTTTCGAAATATTCCTACTGCAATACAGGGCCTGCAAAATGTATGGGCGCGTGGGTACGGGAAACGGTGGACCGTCTGTCTTCCTCAGTTGTCGAATGTGCTAGTCATGTAAGGCATATGCCTAAGAATCTATGTTCTTACATGCAACAAGTTCTTACTACGACGACGAACACACTACTACATCTGCTGTAGGCTATCATGCCTACCTGGATAGCTCCAGAGCGCAGCGACCTGGACAGTATCTATGGTCGAAACAAAATTGTCGACGACAGCTACACGCGTGGGGAGCCAGCATGAGAACAAATGTGCGCTACGATCCGACAATCAGGTTGCCGGTTCACAACCCTCGCGCTACAAAGGGATGTCACATTCGCGCGACCACTTCTACATGCCAGAACAAAGGACTTTTACCCGTCAAGGCTAAAAGCCACTTACAGGTCGCGTCATGCGTACCTTAAACCGACATTGTTAGGTCTAGGGTCTAATATATCAACTTCTCGGATCGCTTGTCGTTTGTATACTCATGTCTATCCGTGGACTCCCACTACGACTCGTTTCCTCCCAGATCCATCGTACAGATCAGCAGCGGCAAGATAGTGATACTGCGAAAGGCTCAACCCGAGCTAATAGCGATGTAAGCCCCGCACTCTAAGTGTGACATATCGAAGTCTTTTCTAGCGACTAACAACTCTCAGCGGCGCAATGAACCAATCCAACTCCTCTCTTCTCAACCTTCCCGGTGAGCTTAGGAACTGGATCTATAGATCTCGATCAGGTAGTAACAGCATCAAGGCTGCATTGTAATTGGTCGAGTTGAACACAGAATGCAAGACACACGTCGGATGCTACTGCACTCTTCCATTGCTCTGATGGATTACAACATACTCTTCTGAATCGTCTCGTTAGAACCGCAATGCAATGAATTATAGATTACTACTATACATACGCACTAGCTGCACCTTTCGCTCAACATAGTGGACACTTTAACCCCGTCCTCCCCATCATCTTCCCTACGTCCCCACTGCCCTCCTGCGCGCCGCTCTCCTTCTCCAAACACGTCCGATGCCACAAATGCCTACAAGCAAACAGCACAAGGCTCTCCCCCCTCTCTCCCTCTTCCTCCCCATCATCCAGTACATCCGCCTGACTAGGTCTCTTCCCCTTCCCCTTCGCACTCCCCTCTCCCTCATCACCCACCGCCTCATCCCTCATCTTCTTCCTCCCCTCCTCCCTCTTCTCCCAAGCCCCCCACACACCTGGCCCCGCACCCGGACCCCACGCCCTCTTCTTACAGCCCTCGCATACCTGGCCTCTGGGTCTCCACCCGCGCTTCCGCAGCTCGGTGATCTCGTCGACGTGTTCGAAAGATTCTTTGTCGAGGAAACGGTTGGCGAGACTGAGGATGGTTTCTTCGAAGGTGTAGGCGGCGAAGATTTCGGAGAGGACAGTGCGGAGGTCGGAGAGGGAGGGCGAGTAGGTGTGTGTTGCGCGGGTGAGGAAACAGCGGAGGATGCGAAGGAAAGATGGGTTGGATCGCGCGCGGGATTGGGTGGGGCGGAGTGGTGGTCGGGTTGTTGGGTCTGTTGTGGGGTGGGATTGGGTGGTCTTTCGTGCGGGTGGGATGGTGGTGGATGTGAGGAGGGCGGAGAAGGTTAGCTGTATCGAGGAGCGGAGAGTAGACACGATGCGAGCAGTATCGACTGTATCAGCTGGGTCAACGCCTGTTGATGTGATGGAAGCATCGTGGTCGGCAACGGCGCTTGATGTGTCCCTAATGAGTCGTACAGACGTGTCGACGAGCTCAAGCCATAACAGTTCGTCCGATGCGAGATCTGCTTCACGAACTTCTCCGTATGCTGACTTCCGTCTATCGATGCTTGACTCCGGTCTCGGCTCTTTAGATCGCGTCTGTCCTTGACATAACCAGATGCCAACCTTGATGTACTTCTGGATGTCTTCGAGAAGATCGTGGACTGCTTCCTCGGTGTTGGCCACATCTGGCGTCTCCGATGCGGCTCCAATGAGGCCTATCAAGGCCGTTTGAAGTGTACCAAGATGCTTCACTAGTCGATCCATGGCACCTTGGACGAGGCCGTCGCGAGCCATCAAGATGACAGCACCGTCAATGACACCGCTCTTCTCCAGCGCAGGCAGAACAGGATCTAATCGGAGGTCGCTGGACTTCAACGAGCCGACAAAATCTGCGACATGCGCGCTATTGTAAGTGCACATGAGCTGCACGTAGTTCTCGATGAATCCAGAAGGTAGATTCTCATCGATGAAAGTGACAGTGCCTGTCGCGGCCTGCTCTGGTTCGATCAAAGCCTGTAGATAGCGGTATTGGGCATCGGCCCCGGCTTCGATAGCGTCTAGAGCAGGCCTCAGTAGGTCGGGCGCATATTGCTTCAGTGTCACCGCAGTTTGCGACGCGTCGATCGCAGCCAAGTCGGCAGCGCGACTGACGATGACCGCCTTGACCTCGTTCAGCTGCTTCTTGATGACACCTTTGCTTGGCCGAAAGATGTCAGCAATACATCCAAAGACTGCTTCGTCGTCCTCTTCATCGTCAAGGTACGTTTCGAGCAGCTTCGCGTATTGTTGTGCGCCCCGATACACCGACTTAAGCACGCGATGAAAGCCAGCCTTTTCAAACAGCGGCACAAGACTCTGTGGACTAGGCGGGTGGTAGATCGAGAGCAGATACTCGACTGAAAGCTGACAGTCTTCCTTAATCGTATCTGTAGGGTAGTTGCATAGACCAATGAGTACCTGATGCAGCGACGTTCCCGGAAGCATGATGTGTTGCGGGTATTTCGGCAGATTGCGCGCGACGAACATGTAGAAGTAGATGATATCTTCCGGGTCGAAGTTGTCGGTGTTCATTATCCCGAAAAGGTAGTTGATGATGGACTGGCGAGTGGGAGTGAGGGCCGAACCTTGCTGCGTGCCATTAAGCTGGACTCCATTTGGTGCATCTTGCTCGCCATTCAGGAAGCTATCCTCAAAAGCCTCGTTCAGCATGCTCATGAAACTTGAAGCGTCAAAGTCTAAGACAAGCTGTAGATATGGAAACGGAGGCTCCGGGCTGCCATCAGATTGTGTCAAGATGACATCGCCCGAGTCTGGTGGCCACTGCAGATTCTTTCCCGAGAACAGGAATCGATACATGTCCTTCTTGGCGCTGTACGCCTGCGCATCCTCCATAAACGCGCCGCCAGGATACACACGTCCGGTGAAAGTATACGCTAGATATGGGAAGATCTTCTTCGCGGCAGTCAGATAGATGTTCTCCGTCTCATCCACGTCAAAGTCCACAAGCTTTATGAGTTCGAGGATGTTGGTGAGTGGCGTGATGTAGTCGCCAATAGCTCTTGTCCACACATAGATCAGCGCGTCGTACAATACGTATTGTTGACAGAGCATAGTGACTTGGTTCAGGTCCATCGTATCGGTGCTGAGCCGGCAGATCATCTCTTCGAGCTGCGTGGAGCGATTGGCTGAGGCGTAGAACGTTATGAGGTCCTTCAAGACGTTCGGTGGTACTGCGGTGATCTCATCGTCTTGTATGTATGGCTCGAGGGTCTCGAAGAATGCCTTCTCAGCCGACGCTTCTTCGTAGGTATCGTAAACGTCCTCGAACAAGAAGTCGTGTTCCTCCATGCACAGCAAACCTGTGAAGACTACTTCAGCAAGCTCCTTCGCTCGACGGTCCTGCGCATCGCCATCGACGTCATCCTGTCGCGAGAAGGAATACTTGAGTGATGCCGTTATCATCTCGAGAAGCTTTGGCTGCACAAGCGCATGGCGTGCGTTGTCATCGTCGGGCAGCCCGACTGTGAGCTTGTCCGCATCCCCGAGGTAGTACGAAGTCGCGAGACCGATGGCGGCAATGTAGTCGCCATCTTCCATCAAGGCCAACAGGCGGTCAGCCCAGTTTGAAAGAGTGCCGATGGAGCAGTCGTTGAAACCCAGGAGGAACAGCCGACCTTTGTACGCCCGGAAGCTCATGTAAAAAGCATCTGCCACAACACCGTGTAGTGACGCATCTTCTTCATTAAGCTGCTCAACGACTGGCTTGAGTTGTCGTGAGAAAAGATCCGAGTGGTAGATGTGCTTTTGCAGCAAATCGAATGAGTCTGTCACGCGTAAGGTGTTGTCTTCCAAGATCATGAGGCGCTGACTGATCGTAAGCACACTGAGAACTGATCTACTAAGCCACTGAACAGCAACAATAGCTTCTTCCGCCTTCCAGCGACTCCGGGGTCTGAAGCGAAGCTCAACGGGCTTTTCTCTTTCCGACGGGGGTGGCAGAATGGAGTCGACTTCCAGTATAGTCAGGACATTGGACCAGCAGTACACGAGCTTGGTCTTGGAGATTGCATTGTCGGCCCCATTGGACGAGCTCTTTAGCTTGACGGCTGGGAACCAGGCCAAACACCCGCTTAGCGCGCTGTGCGCTGCCACATCCTTTGGCCGGGGCGCTTTGTGCTGTGTCTGTGCAACTGGAGTAGTCGATACGATGACCAACAAGTACGGCGTTAGCAATGCAGTCAAGCCCATGTTGTCAGTTGGCTGCTCCACGTTTCCTAGCGGCAAAGGTGCGAATGCCAGCACAGAACTCGGTTTCCGAGGTTTCTCCAGCGACTTTGCCGACAATGGATATCTCCCCAAGATCCGAGTGGTCCTGACCGTCCGCGCAATAGCCCCTAGCCCACGGGTCGCAAGATGAGAGAAGGCCATGCCCGCATCATCTGCAGAAACGAGCGCTGTGCGCCGGGTGCCGAGGAAACCCAAGTGCAGGATCGCTACGCCCGAGACATGGCCATCTGATTTGTTGTCCTCCACAGACGCCCTTTCCAGAGGAGGGATATGCAAGAATGGCTTTGCCGGCTTCGCCAACTCCCAAGTGAAGATGTGACCCGTCGCATGTCCCCCTGCAATAGCCGAGTGATCTGCAGCGATGGCCAGCGAAGTGATGGCACCGCATTCGACAGCCTTGGTACCCGGTCCAATGATGGACTTGAGGACTTGCTGGTAGTCGAAGATGAGGATGAAGCCCTTGGACGTTCCTATCGCCAATGAGACGGTCACATGTAGGCATGTGGGCCGGCCGAAGTTGCGCTTGCCAATCTCAGAGAAGACTTGCCCAGTGATCTTCTTCAACCTCGTCCATCGCACGACCTCCCACGGCGCCTGAGGTGTCTCGGACCCGTCATCGGATAATTGTTGGAAGACGAGGTTGCTCGATACGGAGGATTGTCGTGAGTGCGGCGACAGGAAGGCGGGTGACTGACCGCGCGGTGTTGGTCCAGGGGATGGAGATAGGCGGGAGGAGAAGCGGCGTTCGAATGGCTGCAGCGATGTCGGTCGGTGAGGCCGAAGCGAATTGTGCGACACGGGTACGCTGCTTGTGGGCGAGGATATACCGGAACCCTGTCTTGGTCAGAGGATTCCCATGCTGTGCTGAAGACTGCGTACCTGAACCGAAGGGGTGTCGTCGGGTATATCCGTCGAGGCAGGGCTGTCTGCCACCTCTATAGTCGGTCGAATAGACAGCACTGATGCTGAATCATGTGTCTCTTCATGGGGGCTTCTCCTCCGCGTCCTGGCAAAGGTCAGGCCCTCAATGCCGTTGTCTACCGACTGAACATCTTCACCATCCTCTTCGTCCAGGCTTCTCAGCTCGGCCGCGCTGCCGTCCGAACCATCCTCTTGTGCATCAAAAGCTCCCACAGCGCCTTCCCTGGCGTCTATCTCGTCTCCATGGTCGTTGTGAGCACTGGAGTGGCTCTCTTCCGAATCTGAGCTCATCAGGCTCGTTCTGCGCAGGGCATTGCTTCAGGCGCACATCTGGTAGCAGTCGGCGATTGCACGATGTTTGGTATCTTGCTCTTGAGGTTGCCTTGGTTCGTGGGTGTAATCGACTCGGCGCGGGGGTTTCGGTGGTCCGCAGTACGGGCTGGTGCTGCCTACGCGAAAGGGAGTTAGGCGTGCGTCCGGGCGGGTAGCGCGGCAACCGAGGGCGTATGCGGCGGGTGTGAAGGTCAGTCGAGAGGGTGAAAGGCGCCCACGAGGGTTGGCATGGGTTGGCAAGGATGGCGCGTCTACAGAGCTCATGGCGCAGTTCGCAGATCGCCGCATGTGCCGCGCCGTTGGTGAAGGTCCAAGCTCCTGCAGAACGTCACTCGACGCGCAGCCAGGAACACTTTCCATTCACACCTCACAACCCACGATGCCTTCAATAGGGCCCACGATGCCGCCGCACCTTTCTAAGCGCAGTCGCGACGACGAAGATGATCGCGCATCGAGTCCGGAATCCGGCGACAAGCGCAGACGAGTCGTCGGCCCAGCACCTCCACCTTCCGCATCCTCACCTCGACGCACAGCTGGCCCTTCACTACCACCAGACGCAACATCACGATCCAGCAGCGTGGACAGCGACGTCGGCCCTGCACCTCCACCAGCCTCGAAGCCAGCGCGCGTAGTTGGGCCAGCTCCACCACCGGCGCCTCTGGACGAGCGGCCGCCCAACCCACCAGACAGCGATTCCGACAGTAGCGATGATGACTTTGGGCCCGCGCCGCCACCAGCTGGAGGTGCATCCTCAGGCTTCGACAACGCCATGGGCAAATCGGCATTCGACACGGAACCGCAATTCACCGACGCTCCGAAGAAGGCACAGCGCGACGAATGGATGACACTGCCGCCGACGCAAGACGACCTTGCCGCCCGAATGGACCCCACAAAGATGCGCGCACGCAAGTTCAATACAGGCAAGGGTGCAGGAGGGACAGGAGGCATGAGCAGCGCATGGACCGAGACACCAGAGCAGAAGCTCAAGCGTTTACAAGACGAGGCCTTAGGCATAACCGCGCCCACCAACTCTGCGCCCGCCACATCGGAATCCAAGCGCAGTAAAGAAGAGGAGAAGAGAGCTCGCAAGATGCGCGAGAAGATCGATGCGACACGCGGCAAGAGTCTTGTCGAGCAACATCAAGACAAGGGCACGGGCAAGGAGAAGGAGGACGATCCTAGCAAGCGCGCCTTCGACTACGAGAAGGACATGGCTGTGAGCGGCTCGCTCAATCACAAGCAGAAGCGGGAAATGCTCAGCAAGTCGAAAGGTTTCAGCGATCGCTTCTCGAGCGGCAACTTCCTGTAGCCGCCATACATAGACCTATGAACAGCACGATTCGATCTACTCTGTCTGCGACTTTGCTGGCCTTCAAATCGCCCGACTGTCCTCAACCATGTCTTTGCTGGGACCGACACACTCTCCGTGAAGTACGATGAGCAAGGCGCAGCGACGACTCACGCCGCATTCAAGTCGGATCGGGCACTGTATGGCTTCCGCTCCGGTCAAAGGCGTAGTGTAACGGGAGCTTTTTCTATGCGCAGAATGTACCACCACACACCGATTGGGCGATTGTCTCCAGGCGCTACCAGAATCGCGGCGTCCAATCTCTGATTGGCTCGATATACGCGGACGACGGAACTCGCCGCGGGCCTGATGCAACCGCAGCGCGCCTTGACTCACATCACGCCTTCCGCTTCTAACGGCACGCTATGATATACCGAAACATGCTACATGCGGAATAGATTCGTAATAGTGCAGATGAATCATCGTGACCCAGAGTAAGTGTGGCTCTGCGTGTCAAAAGCTTCCACGCTGACTATGAACCGGTGTACCATAGCCACATGTATATATTGAGCTACCTTCGAATGCGTAAGTTATAGGATTTCATCAACATCATGGCTCACAAGACTCCACAATTCGAGAAGCTCGTACTAGAGAAGATCAACGAGTTCCACGTGCCTGGTCTGTCGCTCGCGGTTATACAAGGCGATGACATCTACTCTGAGGTAATTAAGTTCTTACACAAAACCTACTGCGCATCACTCACACCCCTTAGGCGTATGGCTATTCGGAACTGCCCGGCACCCAAACGACTACAGACACCCTGTTCGACCTCGCAAGCACCTCCAAGTGTACCACTGCGGCGGCCGTGGCTGTTCTCGTAGACGACGAAAAGTACCCCGAAGTGCAATGGACAACACCCGTGTCAAAGATTCTGCCCGACGACTTCGTTCTTCACGATCCATACCTCATGGAGCAAGTCACCATTGAAGACATCCTAAGTCACCGGAGTGGCATCGCAACTCACGACGAGTCCTACCTCAGCGCACGAGCGAAGCATCCAGACAATGCGAAGTCCTTGACGCGCAATCTGCGCAACCTCGAATTTGTAAAACCCCTTCGCACCGAGCACATCTATTGCAACATCATGTTCAGTGTCGCTGTGCACCTCATCGAAACTGTGACCGGCATGTCTTACACCGACTTTATCCGGATAAAGCTCTGGAAACCACTCGGCATGACCAATACATTTCACGACGTGCCGGACATCAAAGCCAACAGCGACGCGGATGGACGCGCAAGGCCACACTACTGGAACAGCGAATCTGAGTCTTACGTCGCACTGCCTCACTACCCTCCAGCCCCAGAAGGTCACGGCGCAGGCTGCATCTTCAGCAGCGCAGGTGACTACGCGAAATACATCCGCGCACTCATCAAACGCAACCCGATCCTGTCCGAAGACAGCCACAAAGCGCTAGCCACACCCCGTAGCTTCGATCTCCTCGGCGACGAGAAATGGGCTATACCCTACAAGAGCGACGAGCTCTACACCCTCGGCCTATCTCGCACGAGCTATCGCGGACACACGGTCATCGGCCACTACGGTTCGGTGCCAGGTTTCAAAGCAATGGTTTGCTTCGTCCCCAAGATCGACTGGGGCCTCGTCGTCTTCGGGAACTCAGATACCGCGATGTACGTCAACGACATCCTAAAGTTCACGTTACTTGACGATGCTCTTGGCGTACGCGACGAAGATCGCGTCGATTGGGGCGCGTTCTTCAAGAACTTCCAGGCCATGGACGATGCCGAAGAGGCGGAGAAGCCGGAGTGGACAAAGGTGGAGAACGCGCAACCGCTTGACGTTCCCCTTGACGCGATATTCGGCAGCTACCATAACGTTGGGTACAAGAGCCTCGTAATCGAGATGAAGGAGAGCAAGCTTGTTGCGGATTGCACCGATCGATGCTTTCCGTACATGCTCGAGTTTGCGCATCTCAGCGGTAACATGTTCGCGGTAGAGATGCACGGTGTGTGGGAGGGTAAGCTGTATAGTACCATTCGAGGCGAGATTCGAATAGAGGCCGGGAAGGTTGTCGCGGTCGGTGTGGGCCTCGAGAGCGACGTGAAGGGCGGTCTTATCTGGTTTGATCGTGTAACGTACCCCATGGGCGACATGGTCACACGGGCGACCTGATCACTCTGCCATGGCCCTACCAAAACCACGATTACATACCACTGTACAGCGCCGAACAGCACCGTAATCAAGAACTGCAAGAGACTATTCTAATCAGAATCTACCGCTGCATCCTGCTTGCATGTTCGAAAGTTGTGTTGTGAAGACTACACACTATTATCATGTTGCTGACTTTCACGTTCTCCAGGGCTCGCCAGAGCGCAACTTAACTACCCCTCATCAGGCGACCCGTATCTCGCAACCTGTTGGATATCATCCGTAAAAGGCTAAATCTCACTCTGTTAGCCTTGAATCTCACGTCAGACATGCCGTATGTGCTCAATCCACACCCTCTGTGCTCTCGTACTTCACTGCGGCTTCAGAACGACTCACAACTGCTATGGCGAACAACCGTGCTATCGCACTCAAGACGCAGATTGGCAACGCAACACACGGCCAGCAGCAGTTGCGACCGATATTCACATCCTTGAACGGGGATAACTCATGGCTTCTTTCTTTTCCACGTCCAACAGAAGAGCGGACTACCAGTGGGAAAGCATTCTATCACATCGTACACGACCCGTGGTTCAACGGTCCTGTCAACCTATGGACGTTATGGCTAGCAAGTATCAGCCTATCGTCTCCACCTGCTGTCAATAACGGCAGCGATGTAGAAGGCGTTGTGCGCGACGTCGAAGCTGCAGCTGCAGACGCTGGGATCCTTCCTACCACAACACCTGGCACTCGAGATGCTTCACCGATTGATGCGATCTTCATACGATTTCACTACGACGATCATCTACACAAGCCGACATTGCTGACTTTCGCGTCAAGCATACCAGTGTTTGCGACACCGGAAGCGAGCGTGATCATTCGCGACTGGAACCACTTTGATAACATCATCACCACCAGAGACCTGGAGCCGGGTATCTTTGACGGCGACTGGACATCGCTGCATCCAGGTAGCCCGTTACCCACCTGGCTAACGGTCTTCCGAGCCCGCGGCCACCATGAGCTCAACTTCGCTAGCGCAATCATTTACACGCCTTCACCAGAAGTGCACGAAGCGGTATTATACTCCCCGCACGGGATGCGCACCTCTCAGGAGTCTCTGCAGACCCTTTTGCATAGGTCAATGCCAGACTTCAATGTGCTTGCCCTCCTTCACGGGCTCAAAGAGAGCTGGTCGTTCAGCTGGCCGTTCAGCTGGCAGACCACGTTTGGGGTTGGAACGGGGTTAGAGTTACAAAGGCAGACGGATTCAAAGTACTGGATTATTACACACAACTCACCGCTAAGGTATCGAGGGCTGTTGTGGGTAATCGTGACGGATATCTTCCGAACGTTAGAATGGGCGCTAGACAAAGAAAGAACACTAAATTCAGAAGAGAAGAAAGTAAATGTCGTCAACGTAGAGAACGGAGGATTCTTCTTACTTAAGTAAATTGCATAACCATAATCTTATCTAGATCTTCTATTGATACCATATCATTCCGTCTAAAAGAAGACTTCTAATCCTAGTGAATTAAGCTAGTTCTACTTCAGGGTTCGGGTATCCGTCACATTGGTGGTCTTAGCTTAGGAGATTTAAACAACTTGTCCATGCTAGCGGATAGCTGCAGTTGCAAGTAGTTGGCATAAACATCAGCAATGCCTGCGCATCGGTTCATAGTTGCAGGTCAGGTAAGTAGCTCTTCGGACTCATTATCCAGATCTCGCTCGTACCCTCCGCCTCTTCTTCATCTGATGCGGCGGCATGTGAACTGTCCACCATATCTCATCCAGCCCGTCGTCGTCATGGCCCGGCTCCTCAGCCCGTCCACTACCAACATCAATCGCCTCTCCTCCGTCCCCTTGCCTCTCTTCTTCCGTCGTCGTGACATGCTCCTCAGCCACTGTCGCGCCCCGAACGAACCTCATCATCTGGCCCAGCGACGTCATCTGCTCCGCGACGACCCACCAGAGCTCGTCCACCAGCACCTCGGCGGCGGCTTTGAAAACGGGCTTGAACCAGCTCCTTTCCCAGCTGCCAACCTTAGTTTGCTCTTCTTCTTCTTCTTCGTCGTTGTCCTCCTCGACGATCCCCTGCTCCGTCTCCGCGGCCGCGACCAGCAGGAACGGGACGTCACCGGATCGCCAACGCGGCTTCCTCTCGTGCGCCTCCTCCGCTTCCGCCAGCGACGTCCGCAGCACCGAGGCCACGGCGGCGGGTGATGCGCAGAGGAAGACGGGTAGATCGAGACCCGACGGAAGGACGCCAGACTCGCGCATGGTGCGATAACTGGCGCGCGCCTTCTCAACCCAGTCTCTTCTTGTCCCTGCCTCTCCCTTGGCGTCTTCGTCGTCGTCGTCCACCTCGACCCAGCGGATCTCAAACGAGCGTCGCGCCTCGGCGATCTCGTCGGCAGGCTGCCCTTCCTCCTCCAACGCCTTCTGGATCGGGATCTCCGCCATGTCCCGTGCGCGTGTGTGGAATCTGGCCACGTCCGACTCCGGTATGGCGGCGACGGCACTGGAAGTACAGAACGCGACGAAGCCCCATGCCCCGCCGACGTCGCCGCCCGTCCGTTTGCGCCAAGTCTTGAGCCAGTTGGGGGGAGGTGGCGAAGGCCGTTGCTGCTGCTGCTGCTTCTGCGCAAACGACGGTGACGACGCGGTGGCGGCAGAAGAGGACTTTTTCTCGAGCTTCATGCGACGCAGCTGTTCCTGCCACACGACGCGAGCCATCTCCATAGCGCCGTCCTCGCCGAGCACTTCGCGGAAGCCGGCCTGCATCTTGGTGCGCTCCTCGTCCGACAGCGCGGCGTTGTCCGCGGGCGTGGCGTGGGCATACCGCTGGAAGTTCCAGCCGAGCGGCCAGTAGGTGCTAGCGGTGTCGGTATAGAAGGTGAATGAGCTAGACGGTTTCGACATAGCTCTAGGTTAGAGGCAGAGTAGATTGGTTAAGTAGTGAGTTAGTAGAGTACACGAAGGTAAGATTAAGTGAGGTATAGATGTAAGAGGCTACGCCGTATCAAGCAGACTGCTCTAGTCACATGACGTACGACTTAGCGCCGACTAAAGCAATAAGGCACAAGACACAAGGTCTACAAGAGGCGAGTCGTACGCGTAGAAAAACCCTTTCTTCTCTTATCTTTCTTCTTCTGTATTTAGGACAAATGGATACTCGTTAGCAGGCCTCTTTCCGCCCGTAACAATAGCTACAAAACTCTAAGAACTCTAGGATCAAGCGCTGTTACGAACCTAAGAACAGAAACCCTTAACTATATATAAAGGATAGTAGCAGAAAGAGACCCTAGACAACCTAGACAAAGAGCAGACCTTTGTCTACTAATAGATAACGCTACTCTGCAGTAGTTACGTAGTTCTATAAGGCTAGTAGAAATTCTTTATAGAATAAGTTACGTGTTTCTTATAATATATTATAATTTACTATAGTATACTACGCATAAATTAATGTATAATAACATAGAACTTATAGAATACTATAACTCTTATTAGGTGTATAGCTTAGATACTACACCTCTATAGTTTAGTGTATTTAACTTTATACAAGACTCTAGTATTTAATCTAAGAATTATGCTTCTTTCTTAACCTCTTATAATATTATATTATCCTACTAAACGTACTATTACACCTCTGTACTATTACATTAATCCACTAATTGTGCTAGTACACTAACCCTGTCTAACGCATTCACTCGTTCCCGAGAACTAACTCTTAGGTTATCTTAGCACAACCTTCACAGTATCTTAAGCTTAGTCTTAATACATCCGCGCCTTTCGCACATGCTCTGTTCCTCCAATCCACACCCTCGCAATGTCTAGTGTTGCTGAGATGTTCTGTAACGGATTGCTGCCTGGTTTAAGCAACAGTAAATCTGCACGATATCCCTCTTCGATAGATCCTCGCCCTGTCAAGTTATGCATGATACCGGGCATCACCGTCGCTGCCCTGAGTACATCCACTCGACTCATACCCGCCTCTGTTAGGTATTCCAGCTCTTTGTGTAGAGTGACCCCAACTAAATCGCCTTTGAGGAAACCTTCGGCTTGGTCGTTTGCGTCGGTTCCGGCGAGCAGCGTAACCCCCGCACGCAAGAGCCGTTGTACGCTGATGACTCCGGCTTTGTATGTCAAGGGTATACATGGAGAAACAATTGATTCGATTGTCTTGTTCTGCGTTGTGATCTTCCCGATGTTCAGTGTCGGAGTGACGTATTGCCCCTGTCGTTTGATGCGTTGGACCATGTGCTTCGAGATCGGAATATCAAACGGCACATGTTGGATACCATCGGTCTTCGAGCGTATGGCTACCTCATATGAGGCATAGTCTTGGCAATGCGTCATGGCGACCTTACCCAAAGCATGTGTTGCCTTGACAAGCGCATCATGAGTAGCCTGGTTGAAGCCATCGCTTTCTGCAATCAGCTTTATATAATCTGATCCATTCCTGAAGACATTGGCTACAAATTCAGGAGCTTGAGACGGGGATTGCACAAAGCCTGTGGCGCCGAACACCTTTGCATGCGTACTGTTGGGTGCGACAGCACCTTCGCCGGCAGTGAAAAACGATGTCAGTCCGATTTGTTCCCGGAGCGCTGCGCATAACGTATAGTTACTGCAACCCATGTTCATGACACTCGTGATACCGTAACTTGCCAGAACCTCGAGGCTGTCCAATCGGGTCAGGTGAACATGGCTGTCGATCAATCCTGGGAGTAAAAACCCTCCTTCCCCATCGATTGTGTGCTGTGCGTGGCGGGTGTCGAAGGTTATGCGGTCCCCGTCGATGCCCACAGTAGTGGGTTCACTGAAGGCCCACCCGTTGAAGATCCGAACATTGCTGAGAATTGTCTTGCTTTGGTGTAGCACCGGCATGCTCTGCCTTCGGGCGCGAAGTCGTCTCAGCTGCGTCTCGACGTAGGATGCGTCTGTTTCGCGTCGTGCATGGTGACTGGAGAGACAACCATTGACCAACGTATGTAGTGAAGCTGTGAGTAACAAGAAGGAAGTCAAATGCATGATGAGATAAAGAACTAGAATGCCCAAGCTGTTGAAACTACCACGGGTATGCGAGCTTCGGTCTGAGTCTTATAACTGCTATCTAGGTATGGTACCCACATGGTTATGAACACCTCATTCGTGAGAGAGTGCGAAATACCAAGGATTCTGTCATGTTCTTGCTGCGGTATCTTGCACTAGTGTGATGCATGGATGTACGTACGAAGCAGCCAATCAGATCATGCGAAAAAAATCTTCCCATTCCTCATCTGGAACATTAAAGTTAGGCGAGGTTCACCCATGCTCTTACCGCAAAGCCCTATCGCCGTCTTACGCAATCACAATACTTGCTGCGGCCATGCGGTTACGTAGGAAGCAGACATGTACCTACGAAGTAGCTAATCGGATTTGTTGGATACGAAAATTCAATTCTTATTAGGACACAAGCGCCGGAAACCTACGTAGGATTACTCCAATTCGACGGGTATCGGGACTCTACAAAGACCGATACCCTTATGAAAGTCTGGACGGAGCAATGATTTCAACAGCCTAGTAACATGACTGATTGAGGCATTGCGGGCGTTAGATTTGCTAGTCGGTGTGATGGATATAAATACCTCCACCCCAAGAATATATTCTTGACTGATCCTAATTTTCAAATACATTGGACCAACCATCGTCTCGCAGTTCCAGCGAACAGTTTCTGTCTTTCAATATGCTTGCGAGCTGCCCCGGTCAGTCGCTATACATAGCGTGTTGCGAATCTAGCTTACCTTTTCTTAGCACTTGCCGATCCAGCGCACACTGAGTGGTCATTGTGCCCTTCAATCCCAGCTGCAATCCTCTTCACGATCCTGTTTGCCCTCACTACTGTTGCACATATGTTGCAAGCTCTACACTATAAAAAGATATACTGCTGGGTCATAGTCGGATCTGCACTTGCTCAGACTATAAATTATGTTTGCCGGATCTTCAGCATCCAGAAACCCAACGATCTTGGTCCCTACGCAGCTTGGTTTGTTATAATTCTGGTAAGCTAATCTCACACCTACGTAATAGAATGAATACTGACCCTACTTAAGATTGCGCCGCTTTTTACAAATGCCTTCGTTTATATGGTAATGGGTGTGTATTGCTACCCTGCTCCAACACCACAACTTCATGGGAGACTAAAAATGGTTCGCGTTTGAACGAATCATGGAAACATCGAAACTTGGTGGTTTTTAGGCGGCTGTTCATAAGAAGCCCATCTGACGAGTAGCCCAGGACGGATGATGTGGAATTATATTCCCGACGCGAAAATTTATGGAGTCACTGCGTGGCGCTTCTCGACATACTTTGTGGTATTCGACATTATGTGAGATTGTGCTCAGCCATCGTTGAGATAGCTGAAATTAACCGTAATACAGCGCTCTCCTTATTCAGGTTGCTGGGGCATCCTCGAGCGGCGCTAGCAGACAAGCAAATCAACAAGTACTAAACGGTACGTTGCACCGAACAAGTGTAGACACTCACTAAAGATCTCTCCAGCAATACACATTTACATGGGGGGAGTGGCAGTGCAGCAGTTGTTTATTCTGATATTCTTCTTCTACGCCATCAAATTCCACCGAACAGTGCTTCGCCAAATTCTAGAAGGAATGGAGGACGCGTCTAGTGCATTGCCGTTGCTGTATGGAATATATGCAGTACTACTGCTCATCACAGTACGTTGGTTGGTCTTCTCGCAAGCACAAATACTGAAATCTTCAAAGATCAGAATCATATTTCGCCTAGTCGAGTACTCCCATGGATTCAAGAGCAACATCCCCAACCACGAGGCGTATCAATACGGTCTGGACTCCGTTCCAATGCTACTTGCTCTTGTCTTGCTCAACTTCCTCCATCCGGGTCGCATCATGCCTGGGAAAGATAGTGACCTTCCTAGTCGCAAAGAGAGAAAGGTGAAGGGTATTCGCAATAAAGGTGAAAAGATTAACGGGGGTTCTACCTTCACAGCGTGACTTGCGCCACGAGAGCACTTTACCAGCAAGATGACATTTCACGAAGATTCTACAACGCATACCACAGCTACAAGCAAAACTTACAATACATACTGTCAAAAGTAACTGAACAGTAAAGACAGTCTACTTTGTATAACAAAACCAGGGAACAGTCGTGAACCTCACCAGAACCTTCCTGCCGAGCGGAACTGTATTTATCCAGGTCTTCGTTCAAGAGGGGAAAGGCCAGCAAATCAAATTAAAACTCGAGAATGATTGCATACTACCATTCAATTATTTCCTGAGTCGTTTGCTGATTTGTAACATGCTTGTATCTTGGCCGATCAAAAGTCAGAGTTGCCCTATGCTCGACGGGATCGAATATCGGCGATATGTTTGATAGACGACTCGAGCCTGGGACATCCTCACAACTTCTTACGTTCTCCAATCCGGACTCTTCAATACTCAGAACTCTTTCGGCAACTTTGGAAGTTGAAAAGGCATTCCAATCCCCCTCTATCCGACCGCAATCTTGCAGAATACAAATTATCCTCCTGCGGGTGATGGGATGTCTACAGCGACAAAAAACCTGACCAATTTCAGAATCAGTAGAATTACGGTGTGGCTTTAACCGCTATAGGTGCGATCTCCAAGAGCGGTTAATGTGTTCAACAATAGATTTACCTCGAACAAAAGTCTAACGATGGTCATGTCCATACAGTAGAGAGGTGTACCTGCAGTCATTTGTAGGTCAAGCTCAACAATGTCTTGAGCTAGGGCCACGACGTTCTGAAACAGGGGGCAAAACGCATCCCAGTCTCTTTCATTGTCAAACGTCGTTTGCGTAAGCACTGCCGCTTTAGACCCAAGTTCTTTTAGGATGCGTATAGTGGAAATGCCTTTTCTTTTTGTGACTGTCAGATGTTCCCCGCGGATGTTCAGGTAGACGTCGTATGCTGAAGACCATCTCGCTAGAATGCTCGTAGATTGCGCCTGCCAAGCTGCGGGACGTTCCGCAAGATGTATTCCGTGTGTGGGTTCCCAAAGAGCGCTTGTAGTACGAGAAGTTACATGCCAGCGAGATACCAGCGTTTTTCGCGCCTGCGATAAAGCCGGGAACATAGCTGGGATATATACCTCCTGTCTGCCAACCATCTTCGACCGTTGTGAGTTACGAAGTTGCGTAGGCTGGAAGGCTTACCTGGAATACTTGGAGGTCGAGACGCATGAACAACCTTTCAAGTTTCTTGATAGATATGTATGGTATCTGAGATACTCTTAAGGTATCGTGTTGATGAAGGCTGGTGTCCGCGTTGTACTCGACCCCACTCAGGATCTTCATGCCGCCCTGGATGTGTGTGATAGTGGCGCCGTATCTGCTTTGCATTGTCTACTGGGGGTGATCAGGAACGAAGCTGTTTTGTCAGACTGACTCACCTCAATGCATGCAAACAAAATACAACATATCAAACAGACGTCTATTGCCGGTTGGCCTTTCTGTGAGTTTGAATTGATAAGGAAGTTGATAGCCTGCCCATAATTGGTCAATGTAAAGCCTTCAGGGACTCTCTTCGCATAAACATGCAGAGCAGAATCGCTCTTCTGGTGAAGTCCTGCGTGCAGGGACCCGAGAGCGAGGATGGCGTGTCGAATTGAAGGTTCGCGGAGAGCCGCTTGGAACAGGCGCGTTTCCCAGAAATCGCTTTCAAAGAACCGGGATAACTGGGCCGCGGATTCCTGCTGAAAGAAGTAGAACACCCCGCGTTCATTCTCGGTGCCGCGGAATCCAACAGATGGAGCTTGACCCAACGCGTTTACAAACGCTACTTGCAAATCCGAAGGGTTATCGGTGTTTGGGCCGTAACCGTCACACTTTCTCCCCGTAGAAAGGCATGGATAACAAGAAGGACTGGCCTCATCACATTTGACTCGTCGTACTACCCAACTTGTCAATCGTGTTTCTGTATCTGGGCCTTGTACAACTGTCTTACTTCTAGCACACTATTAGCACTTTACATAGACACGAGCTTCTCAAGAACAATTCTTTAGCGAGCAGTAACAGCCTTAGAAGGGTACATACTTGCATGTTCGGCACCCGGTTCGGGTTTTTGGGCGATAGGCCCGTTTCCTCTGGCCTGGAACAACACGAGGCATCTACTACCGGTGTGGGACACCACCGGTACCAGGCGCAAGACGACTACGCTACGTGACTTGTTCTAGTCGACGCCTCGTGAAAAATCCGATACAGTCGCACTCCTAAGTAAGGAGTAAAAGAAATCAAACCGTATATTTCGATAAGATGATGTTAGAGAGCGGTAAGACCGGACAATCTGCGACGGAATAAACTATCCGGCTTACGCGTTCTCAAGAGAGTACTAACCCACATTAGGAAAACTTTTCCTAACTAATATAAGGAGGCGAATTAGGCCTACCTACCTCTAAGTGACTGCATGGAATTCCACTGCGTTTTAAAATTAGCGCAGGTTCTACTCTCTGTCCGTCGCGTTAGCGCGGGTTCTACACCTCTGTTCTCGCCTCTATTTTCCCCCCTGCTGTAATCTACCTTCTACTCTATTCTCGCCTCTATTTTCCTCTCTGCTGTAATCTACCTTCTACTCTGTTCTCGCCTCTTCTACCTACCTCTAAGCGACTGCACGGAATTCCACTACGTTTTAAAATTAGTGCAGGTTCTACTCTCTATTAGTCGCGTTAGCGCAGGTTCTACATGTAAGAGGCTACGCCATATTAAGCAGACTGCTCTAGTCACATGACGTACGACTTAGCGCCGACTAAAGCAGTAAAGCATAAGGCCTATAAGAGGCGAGTTGTACGCGTAAGAAGAACCTTTCTTCTCTTATCTTTCTTCTTCTGTACATAGGAGCAAATGCATACTCGTTAGCAGGCCTCTTTCCGCCCATAACATTAGAAGAAAGATCAACCTTACCTTACTCTTCTTCTCGCACGTGGCGAGTTAGAAGTAAGAGCGGCTACTTGTTGAGTGTTACAGGTTAGCAAGACCCTACTCGTACGATGGAAGCACGGGTGGACGACGATACGATGAACTGGGAAGAGCCAAGTGGAAGCAGGACGGACTTCCCCCCAGAAAGAAACCATGCGCTTGAAGTAGAGGAGCTTCAAGACCACGTACGACGACTACAGAGCGACCTAAACCGAGCAACCCAGGAACGACAGTCGTATGATATGCTGAGCCAGCAACTCCAGGCTCTGACTCAAATTGTCGAGGATCAGAGGAGGATGCTGAGTGTGCTGAGTCCAGGTGGGACCACCCCACCTGCCACGTCAACATCGGGCCGAATTCAAGAGCCCGTACGATACGAGAAGCCACGCCTACCAGATGTAGAGGTCTTTGAGAAGGGTAGTCACGAGGACTACACTCAGTGGAAGACACGCGTGCAAGCGAAGCTCTTTGCAGACCAACGAGCTTACCCAAGCGAGAGCGATCAAGTTCACTACGTGATCACTCGTACGAAAGGATGGGCCTTCACAGCCCTAAGGACGTACGTTACCGCATTGATGGAGAAAAGATCTAGCCCCTCCCTCCAGGATCTGTGGCAACAGCTAGATGGGTTCTTTATGGACCCCACGATTAAGGAGAAAGCAATGCAGTTCCTTCGTACGACGAAGCAAGGCAAAGGGGATCTTATCCACCACGTACAATCCTTTGATCTCAAGTTCCTAGAGGTCGGTCTAGATAGCGCTAGCGATGCGCAGAAGATTGATTACCTTAAGAACTCGTTGAACAAGAGACTACTACGTTACCAAGTAGGTTATCAACCTCCTGCTGGGGAGACGTACGAGCAGTTCGTTCAAAGAATGCGTGTCACTTGGGAGAATCTGAAAGCTGTGGATCAGTCCTCTCTTAATTACACACCCCGTACGACCTCACCCCCACGTACCCATCACCACAATGACGCGATGGATTGGACTCCTACCGTAGCGGCGTTCCAGCCTCGTACGAAGAGAGAATTCTGGGGAACACAGGCCCAGGTTCAGGAAAGAAGAGAGCGAGGAGACTGTTTGAGATGTGGGCACCAAGGCCACAGAGTCGCTCAGTGCCAGGCTAAGATTGGAAAGCGACCCGCTCGTACAGAAGAAAAAGGAGCTACAGTTGCTGCAGTCGCAGCAGCTACTCCTACAAGAATAGATACCGACTCGGAGGAGTCGGGAAAAGAAGAGCCCTAGCTCAAAGACGCAAGCTAGGGCTAAGCACAGTGAAGCTCCTTCAGGCCGTACGATCTCCTCAGAAGATTCTGTCCCAGCTAGCAGCAACCCCCCCTATGTCAATAGATGTCACAATAAATGGCCTTGAACACGCCACCGCTATGGTTGACAATGGTTGTTGCACTTATGGGATTGTAACTGAGAAGCTTGTACGATTAAAGGGCTTACCGCGCATAGAGATACCCCGAATCCAGATTGATGGGGTGAACGAGCAGAAGAGCTCTGTTAACGCTATTACAGAGTTTGACTTGGACGTTGGAGGATTGAAACAACGCGCTGCGGCATACATTGTTTCTACGACGTACGATTATGACATGATTCTTGGGAAGTCATGGCTGGAACGAGTTGGTGGAATCATTGATTCTAGCCAGCACACGTTAAGGCTGCCTCAATACGGTATCACCGTACGCAGTACAGAGTCACAGAAGGGGAAGACAGACTTCTCCCTAATCTCTGCTGCAGCCTTCCAACTACACGTACGACGAAATCGGCGAGAGAAGAATAAGGTGCAGATATTTGCAGCAAGCCTTCGCGACATCGAGAAAGCCCTCCAGATCAAGACCCCCTTGACAGCAGAGCAAATCCGCCAGCAACTTCCGGAATACCTGCAGTCGTACGTACACCTCTTCCAACCAAAGGAGGGAGAGGACCTTCCACCCTTACGAGGGCCCGAGGTAGACCACCAACTGGAGCTAGAACAAGAGAATGGCAAAGACCCAAAGATTCCGTACGGGCCTCTCTACAGCATGTCAAGAGATGAACTGTTAGTACTACGGAAGACACTGCATGAGCTCCTGGACAAAGGATTCATACGAGCGAGCAATTCTCCTGCAGCGTCACCAGTTCTATTCGTACGGAAGCCAGGCGGCGGGTTGCGATTCTGTGTTGACTACAGAGCGTTAAATGCTATTACCAAGAAGGATCGATACCCACTGCCTCTTATTAAGGAAACCCTGCACCAGATTGGACGGGCTAAGTGGTACACCAAGCTTGATGTAACAGCTGCCTTCCACAAGATAAGAATCACAGAGGGGCAGGAGTGGATGACAGCCTTCCGGACGAGATTTGGCTCGTACGAATGGCTAGTAACCCCCTTTGGCCTTGCAAACGCTCCAAGCACGTTCCAGCGCTACGTAAACTGGGTTCTGAGAGACTTCCTGGATGAATTCGCCTCAGCGTACCTTGATGACATTATTATCTTCACGGATGGACCACTATCCCAGCACCACAGCCACGTACGGGCGGTGTTGGACAGACTTAAGACAGCTGGACTACAATTAGAGTTGAAGAAGTGTGAATTCGACGTCCAGCGTACAAAATACTTAGGATTTATTGTAGAAGCAGGGAAGGGCGTGTCTATGGACCCAGAGAAGGTACAGGCTATCCAAGACTGGAATTCGCCTACCACAGTTAAAGGCGTACGAGGATTCCTAGGATTTGCGAACTTCTACAGGAAGTTCATCCCCCACTTCGCACGACTGTCTGAACCACTAGTCCAACTTACACGCAAGGACGCTAAGTTTGTATGGGGAACAGAGCAAGAGAGAAGCTTCCGTACAATTAAGGAAGCCTTCCTATCTGACGAGATTCTCGTACCCTTCGACCCAGAGCTGCCTACAGTTCTAGAATGCGACTCTTCTGGACACGCACTAGGAGGTACTCTTTCTCAAAGAGGCCCAAACGGCGTACTTCGTACGGTTGCCTACCTATCACGCAAGTTCCTTGCTCATGAATGCAACTACCCAATCCACGACAAGGAGCTCCTAGCTGTAATCTGCTGTTTGAAGGAATGGGACGCCGAACTCCGAGGCGTACGAGAATTCGAGGTTATCACGGATCACAAGAACCTTGAATACTTCACTAAGAAGCAAAAGATGACAGAGCGCCACGTACGATGGTCAGTCGAGCTGTCAAGGTTTGGGAATATGAAGATTAGGTACAGGCCAGGAAAGGAGAACGTACGGGCCGACGCCCTCTCTAGACGGGACCAAGACATGCCACAGGACGAGGATGACGATAGAATCGCAAGCAGAGAGTTTGTGATGCTAACTCCAGCTTACCAACAAGACGGCGTACGAGTTGCTGCATCACTCCCCCTAGTTACACCAATAGTCTCGGATACACTGCCCCAGCCACCAAATGAACAAGAGTTGATACAGAACCACTGGGCCACAGCAGTAGCTAAGGACGACCTTTATCAAGAAGTGCTCCAGTCCGTACAGAAGGGGCAACGCTCACTGTCTACGACTAGGAAGATAGCTGTGTCCCTAGGAGACTGCGCAATTAACTCGGACAACCGCCTTACATGGAGAACACGAACCTGGGTACCTGAATCAGAACCACTCCGTACAGGCATAATCCAGATAGCCCACCTATCCTTGCAAACAGGCCACCCAGGTCGAGAAGAGACATACAGGATTGTAGCAAGAGAATGGTACTGGCCGAAGATGAGCGACGATATTAGACGCTTTGTACGGAACTGCGAGCTTTGCAGGAAAAGCACCCCGTGGAGAGATGGAAGACATGGTTACCTCCGCCCTCTGCCAGTCCCAAGTCGTACGTGGCAGCACTTGACGGTAGACTTTATTACAGGGCTCCCCCTTTCAGAAGGGAAGTCAAACCTAATGGTAGTGAAAGACCGCCTTAGCAAAGCTGCAATCTTAATACCTATGCAGAAGATAGAGAGCCAGGACGTAGCCTGGGCCTTCGTACGAGAAGTATACCGTCACCACAGCCTTCCTCTCTCTATTACGTCTGATAGAGGCCCCCAGTTCGCAAGCGCTATGTGGGGAGATGTCTGTAGGTTGTTAGGCATAAGAAGGAATCTGTCTACAGCCTACCACCCACAGACTGATGGTACGACTGAGAGAGCAAACAGCGATATCGAGGTAGTCGTACGGGTGTTTTGCAACAATGACCAAGACAACTGGGCCACGCTATGCCCGATCCTCGAGCTAATGCTCAACTCCCGCACGAACACGTCTACTGGTGTCTCCCCCTTCTTCCTACAACATGGTTACCACAACACGCCCTTCTCCCAACAGGGAGAACAGGAACGTGCGGACAGTAGCGAGACAGCTAAGAAGCTCACACATGAGAAGGCTAAAGACATCGTCCAAACAATCACCTCCGCCGCAGAGTGGGCAATCGCAGCCATGTCGTACGCACAGCAAGAACAGGAAAGGCAGGCAAACAAGTCTAGGAAACCTGCCCCTACTTACAAAGTCGGAGATTGGGTTTGGCTCGACCTACGAGACGTACGCACCACAAGAGCCAGCAAGAAGCTAGACTGGAAGAGCGAGAAGTACCAAGTGGCACGCGTACGAGACCCATACTGGGTAGAACTAGCTGTCCCATGGGAAACCAAGT